CTGTCACTGAAGTTGTACTCGGCTAGCTAAGCAATGGCACATAGCTAATATTTCTATCCTCGCCAATCATTGTTTAATTTGGAGGATTTTCTTAGTTGCTGTTGGGCTAGTTAGAATGTTTTGATTACTCCCTCAATCAAGCCACTTTGCTCGAGCCATGGAAGTGGCTGTAAAAGGGAAGTCGCCTTCATATCTGCATTTATTCCCCCATAGCAGCGCTGGAGACAGAGGTGGCTTCAGTAAGCCTGGTGGTAAGTTAACGAGTATTACACTGGTTAGTCCTTTCAAAGCATAAACCTTTTGAGCAAATATGCTTCCAGTATTGATGTGTCTTACTTTGTGGTATTCAAAATTTATTTACGCAAACATATCTGAAGATATGCATCATACTGATTTTTTTTTTTTTTCATCGATGCCTGAGACCATTTTCTCTGGGTTACTTGGTATAATTCAGTCACTGTTTATGGTATGAGTTTTTGACAATTTTCCACTCAAATGTGCGGTACTGCTTTAACAAGTCTCATCAGCTGAATTCCAGGGTTTTTGAGGATTTTACTGGTCTTTGAGGCTTTTCAAAAGAGTTATTTGCCAAAGGGTCTGAGGTGTTCTATTTTTCAATTCAATATAAATCACTTGCGGGAACTGGTCTACCATAAGTTTGCCAATTTCAACTTCCCAATATGGCCGGCAGCATCTTTAAGGGAGTGTCAGTTATCTTTGGTAGTACTCTTCATGAGTTGTACATTGAACTTCAGATTCATAAACTGACTTTTCTCAATCTGTTTCTTTCCTCAAATGATCAACTACAGGACCAATGAACAGCGATGAGCGTGAAATGGGTGAGAAGTTTAGTAAATACGACCTCATGTAGAATACTTTTTCTTGACATCGTGGTGGGTAAGATGGTCTTTCTGTGAATTTACATTTTTTGTTTTTGCAGGACGGCCTGAAGAGCAGGACGACTCTGAGAACAGCACCATCTACATCACAGGGTTGACTGAGAAGGCCAACCTGGAGGAGATGGCTGAATTCTTCAAACATGTTGGCCCCATCAGGGTATGCATAGCTCTTACCTTCAAATATTGGTGTCAGTGTAACAAATATGGGAACTAATGGGGCTTCTCTTTGTGTGTCAAGATCAACCGCAGACTTGGCCAGCCTGCCATTAACATTTACACAGACAAGGACTCTGGGAAGCCCAAAGGAGACGCCACCCTCTCCTACGAGGAGCCAATCTGTGCCAAGGCAGCTGTGGAACATTTTGATGGTACATTTTATTGGCTGCACACCAGACCTTAACAGAATACAGCCATCTAAAATGCAAATATTCCTTTAAGTAGTATATGTTGTGAGTTTTTGTTTGTGTGTGAATTGTAGGAAAGGAGTTCCAAAGCCGAAGGCTTAAGGTGTCGATGGCACGTCGCAAGCCCATGATGGGTGGTATGAGGGGTGGCATGCCCATGCGAGACGGCATGATGGGTCGTGGAGGTAAATGTCAGCAGTATTTTTATTGTTGGACTTGTGCTTTCCTTCCTGTAGTTGACGCATATCAATGCTTTGCTGGTTGTACAAAAGAACTCTGGTGTTCCACTGCATCCCAGTAGCTGGAGCCAACAAATGATTTGAAAAAAACTTTTCTGAACAGGTATGATGGGCCGCGGAGGAGAACGTGGTGGGTTCATCCCACGCGGCGGTCCTCGTGGGATGGGCAGAGGCGGACCCACCGGGGGCAACATGCAGCAGAGAGCGGGGGACTGGGAGTGCCCCAACCCGTACGTATCGCTTCACAGTGCAGACGCTGGTTTTGGAAGCCCTTCTGTAACGGGCATTGGTTCCTAACTCTGTTCTATGCTTTGTGTCCACAGGGGTTGTGGCAACCAGAACTTTGCATGGCGGATGGAGTGCAACCAGTGCAAAGCCCCCAAACCAGAAGGGTTAGGCGGTGGCCCCCCCTTCCCCCCTGGAGGTGACAGAGGCAGAGGTGGAATGGGAATGCGCGGAGGGCGCGGCATGGACCGCGGTGGGCCAGCTGGTGTCGGGGGCCCAGGTGGTCCTGGAGGCTTCCGTGGAGGTTGGGGAGGCGACCGTGGTGGATTCAGAGGTCGGGGTGGAATGGATAGAGGAGGTTTCCGTGGAGTCGGGCGTGGAGGACCACCAATGGACCGCATGGGTGGCAGAGGTGGAAGAGGAATGGGCCCCCCAGGTGGAAAGATGGATATGAGGTAAGCTGAAGACTCCCTGTGATGAGGCATTCCTTGAATAATTTAAGCCCCTGGAAAAAGTGGATCAATACAAACATGTGACAAAAATTCAGTGTGAAAACTTAACCTCATTTTTGTCACTTACAAATTTTGTTTTTTTTGTTGTTGTTTAGGGACCATCGCCAGGAGCGTAGAGAGCGGCCCTATTGAAGGACTGGTTGAATGTTCCTCTTGTGGAATTTGATTTTTTTTTTTAAATCATATTTTAATTTATGATTCCATATTTCAATGGTTATAGAGCTGCTTTTAAACATCCTGTGCACTCTTCACTCAACTCCTGTTTCCATTTTTTATTTTAGTTTACCCACGTTACGCCGCATCTCGTATTGTGCATGTTTTTTTGTTGCTTTTTTAAATGTGCTGATTAGATTTGACATTGTGTAGTAAAATGCCTCTTCCATTTGTTGACATAATTGCTTCACCTTTCCCATAAATGGCATTTGTATGACAAATTTGGGAAATAAAATTTTACTGATTTGAAGTTTGAATTGTGGAATTAATAAGCATTTCAAGTCATGCAGGACAAATCTTGAACACTGATTTAATCTGTATAGATTATGAAACATGTGATTTGGTCAAACCCTTTTTCACCAATCATTTGGATGCGGCGATCTTTTATACAAGTTTTGTATTTAATAACCTGAAAAGGTATTCATCTGTCTGGCTAAAAAAACAAAGGAGCTTCTTGGGTATTTCCCAGTGAATTGGCATAACATTTTAACGATAAATACTTGAGTCTTTTATTTATTCTCCTGTAGTTTTCTTGTCGATGGAGCGCATCCGCAGCTCCGCCCAGATGTTAAGTTCAGTTGAACTAAAACCTGCTGCACTTCTGACATGCCTGGTTTCTGGATGTGCTGCTATAATAAACCCAACTTGTCAAAACATGAAATGTTACTACATTACTACTGTGCCTCATGCATTTTCTCATAAGTCAATTAAAGTATAACTTGGCTTTCCGTGCCTTAGTGCTCCAATCCCGGTTTATTCTGTATCTTAATTAGTAATAGTTTTACTGCGTTTATTTTGAGTCTCAAGGTAAAGTACAGTTAAACACATGTGTATCTTTAGCCCATTTAATGTTTACTTCTGGCAATTAAAACCATGTTTTCCTTTTGGTTGCCACCTTAGACAATCCTCCCTCGGGACGTAGCATGCCTCGTCTAGCAGGGTCCTCTATTTAACGCCCAACAGCTCACAGGTTTGTTCTCCAGACGTCTCATTGTTGACATTGAGGTGCATTAATCAAGGCACATGTCTGTCTTTTGTTTTAAGTCCAACCCTCTGAATGATCTCTTTAGATAACCTGCACAACTCATTGACTGTGGACGGTTGTTCGTGTGGATTAATGGAGTGCTGAACTCTATTTCTCTCCACTGAAAGAAAAGCTGATTCATCCAGGCCCAGAAAATGATCTCATCAACCCCCTCCTCTCTCTCTCTCTCTCTCCTCCCCTTCCTTTCTTACCGTCTGCCCTCTTTCTTAAACAGACAGATCCCTCTTTTTAAATAAAAACAAGACCTCCTCCTTGAAGAGCGGCTTCACTTAACATTCAAACAATCACAAGTTAAGAGTATAACCGCTGCTCCAATAGATTGTCAAAGGGGATGTGAGATAGTGGAAAAGACAAAGGCCCAGTCTGGAGTTTTTGAGTGCACAAATTCCAAATGTCCTTGCATACTATTGAAAGGGTTCTGTGTGTACAACTTAGAACAAGGGCATATGTTGGTTAAACATGTACAACAAATCTTTTGGAAGGATTGTAAACATGACAAATGTAGAGTTTGTCTTGAAATACCTTTCTGATCATGTGCTCAGGCTTCTGGCATCCCGGCTCTCCCTTTGTTTACACTTTGATTACAGAGAGTGTCTTCAAAGCCCTGAGCAAGTTTACCCTCATGTTTATCTAAAGCTTAACTTTAGTCAAACCTGAAAATCAGGTTTGTTCACCAAAGTGTGACTCTCGTTTCAAACCTGACCTTTGGCTGTAAAACCGACAGCCCTCAAGAGCATCACGGACGCCACCTCTGCCGTCTCATCACTCTTAGAAGATAGACGAGAGGTAGAGCAATTAGAAACCCAAACAAAGCAGCAACCGTGTGATCTTAAACATGTGACATACAACACACGCATTGTCCAACACGGACACAGAAGATCCCGTACCATTGCATACCTTTGCTGTCATATCTCTCACTATAACTCTTAATAATTCCCAATCTCACGCTGTTCCAGGATTTAGCCCTATCCTCTCCAGATGGGACATCTTTAACCGTCAAATATCCCATTACTTCTTTACCAAACACACAAGAGGTTTGGACATGATCCTCAACGGTTAACCGTCACATGCTTTGAGGATCGATTAGATGATACTGATAGAAGGGAATTTCTTGCACTAGGCCGAGTTGGCGTCTTGTGATGCTGAAATGAAGCTTTTTTTCTCCCACCTCTATCACTGTGGGCTGTTTGGTAAAGAGACCACACAGAGGTTTCATTCTTTGAGAGCCAACTGTAACGAATGCGTTCCTACTTTTATTTACAGACTAAAACTTGGTTTTCACATGTTGGGGAAACCAGGGTGATTGAATCACAAATTGAAATAAAATAAAAACAAATTCAAGTTTAATAACAAATGACGCCGGTGTGTTTTGGACTAATCCTGCAAGTACGCGCAGAGCGCGCCGGGACGGGGTTTGGTGATCACGGGGTTAAGTTCTCCTCCTCGTTGATCCCTCGTAATGGGATGTGCCACATGAGTCGCTCTGCTGGTCTAAGCCACAGCAGGTCAACGCATCCAGCGCGAGAGGCGGGCCTGTTTGCAGGGAGCGGATGAGCTGCGGACTCGGTACCGCTCAGTGGTCGTGATTTTAATATCATCGAGGAGCAGCTGACTGACCGACCGCCTCGGACGCACGCACAGCGGCTCGGTGGCACGTGGATTTCTGCAGACGCCGGGCGGAATAACGCGTCGCGGGTGTGTCTGTGTGTGTGTCGACGTCCCGCTGCGGGAGCGAGAGGCGATGCGCTCTTTAGACCAAACGGGTTTCGCAGCGACATCCGGGAAACGCATCCACGCGCCACGGCTCGACCCCGTCCCGGTATGCCCGTGACGGCACAAAGCCTGCCGCCGTCGAGGAGCTCCCGTAAGAAAAAGCGCACATGCAAATCGGCATGGGTGCGTCAACGCGGTTATTTGGCTTCATTGTGCGCGCGGTGCTTTGGAGCGCAGTTGTGCAATGAGACAGACGGGAATCGTCAAGTAGACTCTCGTCGATAGGCCCGCACGACTCGACAATATGGCTGATCAGAGCAACATCCAGTCCGCCGCCTCCAAGAGCATTCGGCCTTTTAAATCCAGCGAGGAATACCTGTACGCCATGAAGGAGGACTTGGCCGAATGGCTGAACACCCTCTACGATCTCGACGTCACCGCGGACACCTTCATGGACGGACTGGGCACCGGCTGCGCGCTGTGTCGGCACGCCAACAACGTCAACCGCGCCGCGCACGACTTCCAGCTGGAGTACCCGGAGGCTGCTCAGTCCATGAAGATGCCGTCCAAAGAGGTCGTCTTCCAGTCCCGGAGCGTCGTCTGCGGCTCGTTTGTGGCGCGGGACAACGTGTCCAATTTCATCAGCTGGTGCAGGCAGGAGCTCTGGATCAAGGACGTCCTCATGTTTGAGACCAACGACCTGGTGGAGAGATGCAACGAGAAGAACTTTGTTCTGTGTCTCCTCGAGGTCGCGCGACGCGGCTCCAAGTTCGGCATGTTGGCCCCCATGTTGATCCAGCTAGAGGAGGAGATCGAGGAGGAGATCCGGGACCAGGAGAGCCTCCGGATCGATGAAGGGGAGCCGGCGGAGCAGAACTCGCCCAGCAGGAGCTTCAGTCGGAAAGAGAGCATCCACAGCGTGGAGGACGAAGAGGATGAGCCTGATCCAGAGCCCTTCATCTGGCCGCAGAAGAGAGTGTTATGTGACATGCGAAATCTGGATGAGTTGGTGAGTCCGATGGATATATATCAATTTAAAGTAATCTTCTGTCTGTTAGTGATCCGATTATGAATGGTCACCAATACGCATTCGGCTCTATAAAATGACACAACTGCATTATGATTCATGCTCGTCACCATCATGATGTAATGATCTTGCAGCTCAAATTTCACATCGTTCAAGGTTCACTGCGCATATAATAAAAATATACTGTCATCATAATCTTTGATCGGAAGTGAATATAATCCAGTTGTTGTTTTTTTGCCTGGTCTAAACAGTTTGAGGCAGCTGTATGAGACCATCGTCTCCCTCAGTAAAACACAGGAAGGTGTCAAAAGTCAAGCACCTTCTCTGAAAATATCATCCCAGTGCTATGAAGGAGGCCGGCGCCTCGGACATTCCCCGTGGTGCACGCGTGTGCATCTTGACCCTGTTTTAGGCAGTTCTGTTGAATTCCCGCCCACCTGTAGGGCCAGTGTGTGTTTGGCACCCGGGTTATTTCTCTCTCGTAAAGGTCACAGGTCAACCCCTTGACATTTTACCTGCACTTGTAGAAATGTCAGCTCCTTCTATACAGCGCTGACGATGATCTTCAGCGTCTTTCGTCTTCTCCATCAGGACTGATCAATACAAAATCCTGCTTCTGCAGCGCCTTTACCAACACGACAAAAAAGGTCTTAATACATTTCCTGTCCTGGGGGGTAGAAACCATCGACCTGTATCGACCTTGATATGTTGATTTGGACGAAGAGAACGGGGGCACCAAATAAGTGAGGGAGGAAGGGAGGCAGTCACACTCCTGCTGGTCAGTCAGCCGAGCGGAGCGGCGCTCTAGTTGTGACCTCCGCGGACAGAAATAGGAGAGCATGTGGAGGAGGACGTCCAGACCGTCTGAGTTCACAAAAGTCTCACTTACGTGACTGAGTGCTGAGGATTAAACAAGCGGGCTGCATTTTCTAACCCCTTTTTTTTTTTAGGACAAAGAGATCACGCGTGACTCTCCCCGTCTGACATCCCCACGGACACATGGCTCAGCAGTCTGGCCGAAAGACACATTTGACTTGACTTATTTGGGATTGGCGTTTTCCAGTCATCATGTGTCTGGTGAATAAAATCTCCACCTCCCTGTCAACCCTGTGAAATTGCACGCATGTGCGCGGAACATGAGGCTCTTCAAACGAGAAACCGCACCGGTCCGGAGATGAGAGGCTGCGATGTTAAAATAGAACCAGTGCAGTGCCAACGCGCTTTGCCTAATGGCTTCAGCGTTTTTCTCTCTTTGAGGCCCAGATATATATCCACTAGACTTCTCTTCATTTCTGCAGTTTGTTTTTTCTACATTAAATCCACTTTTTTTCTTTAAACACAATCATTTGATGAGTATCTGCCAGACCCTCCGTTCTTGCTGCGAGGCATCGGGCCTCCTCGTCCTCCGTAGCATCAGTCACAAGTTCATCCTGCAGAACGCTTTTCTTTTTAGTTACAAGAGATTAGCGTCTTGGTATTACTGGAACCCTCCAGCAGACATTAGTGTCTGACAGGGAGCGAGAGGAAGAAAGTTTCATCGCTCCACAGCTTTGACACCAGACTGTGTGTGAAACACAATCCAAGATGGATTGGATTGGATGGCTTGGCTCTTTAGTTTTTATTATCATTTATCTGTTTTTATCTGTTCAAAAATTGATTGACCTATTATTTGCAACAACATCTGTAATTTGATTTAAAGACATTCTACAATTTCATTCGTCAACTTCTGCCTTATCCAATTACATTGCCAATGAAATGTCGTCAGATAATTACCAGGCTATGAGCGCCCACAGAGACGTGCAGCCTCAGATGGCTTTACAAACACAAATGTGCGTACAACATTTAGTCGTCATGTTGTCTTGACAAAAAAATGAACGTGCGTTCGTGAACTCGGAACGAAGTAATTAAATGTGGGCGTCGTCACAAAGCTCTAATCCAATTATATCTCAAGCAAAAAACAGGGGCTGTGCAACATTGTAATTTAACATGAATAAGAGACATCTTGAACAAGACAATAAAAGTGTAGTGATAATAGGATTACATGTCATTATTCTAACGAGTGTAGAGAAACATAAAATGGCATAAAATGTATCACCATATATTCAAAATGAGGATTCTTCCCTTATTCCATTATGTAACAGCTCAGGGACTCTGTAAACATGTGACTCAGGCTTGTTAATGCTGAGAAACGATTGATAATAGTACTCAAGACTTAAAAATGACGACTCTTTTCCAATAGCTTTTCAGCAGCTAGCAGCACCTGCTCCACAGTTTGCTCCCCGAGTCTTTTCTTCAGGACTCGTAGCCAATCCACCTAAATCACCATTATGAACATAAATGTATCCGCATGATCGTCAACAGCGTACAGTAGTAGGAGTTGCTCGCAGGTAGACAACAGGTACACACAAATGAAATACATGGACAGACTTATTACATCCTTATAATAATAATAACTTGTCAGTTTATCTTTTGATGTATTTGATTTATGGATTGCTCTCAGGATGTAATGAGAACAAGGAAGATGACGAAAATGACCCACACCAGCTTTAAAGCACACATTTGATGTGTGACATCAACGACCTCGTGGACACAATAGCTGATTAGTGTTCAGGAAGCTGTCTATCGTAACAACTTTCATGTGAGCACCTCACCGCCACCGTGTCTCTGCCCCCCGCATCATCAACAACGGGTGTTATTACTCACATCACTGTGGGACACTTTTCCACTAAAGATGAGGAAGAAACCGGTGCCTCATTTCCTTCTTCAGAAATGGAGTCAGCGGCAAATGTTTCTTTTTCCCACTTGTGGGGATGTTGTTTTTTCTCAGTAGTAACACAGACAGCAGCTTCCTCGCGTGGTATACGTACACATATACGGTATCCTTTGCATTGGGGGATTTTCTTTCATATCACCACTACATAGGGATTATGACAGCGACTACAATTGCATCTGTTTTTTCCTCTACGTCGCAGGCAGCCTTATGTAAAAAACACCCGTTGCTGTATTTTCTCTCCATTAGGCCCTGGGCACACACAACGCTGTGTGACATATATGAGATCATTTAATTGTTCACAGGTTTACTGCATGCGTAGCCATCTATACGACACAACATGTGAGCTTCTAAACAACAGACCACGAGAGCTTCACCGCCTCCCTTCATGCACAGCCTTCCTTCTTCTTGCTCAGTCATCTGAACTGGTTCATATCTCTTCTTACCCCGGGCTTCAACATTCAACCCTTGTTTAGTTCATATATGTGCAAGCCCTCATTCCCATCCCCCACCCGCCTCCCCGGCCAGACATGACAAAGCGAGGAGCACCGCAGTATGTCTTGTCGGTGCCATTGACAGGGGTGAAGGGAACAGACCTCGTTGACAGCGAGGAAATCAAAGGCTGCCGCGTTTTACGCCCGACATTGACCGTTGACCTTGTGGTCCAATTCATGCATTCAGGGAATGAAAAAGGGGGAGGGGGGGTAGTAGACAACAGACAGTGCGCCTAGAGTGACTTCACTGTGCACGCTGTTAAACCTGACTGGAATGGATGTTACACTGGGAGGGGGAACTACAGTACAGAGGGGAGCCAGAGTGAAGGAGAAAAGTAGGTCATCATGCTTTGCGTTGGGTCACACTCAAGCTCTTTGCTGAGTGAGCGAGGCCTCCTTCAGTCTTTCTACCTTCTGTGTTTTTAGGGGTTTAGTATTTTGTTTCCACCTCTAGACATTGCATAGTAGCAATACAGACCATATTTCCCTCCTCAGTATTTTCCCTGCAGCAGTGTGTGTGTGTGTGTGTGTGTGTGTACGTGAGGAAACAGTTGACTCTGCACTTTGCCTGCCATTTGCCTGCTTTTGATTCTATCCCTGGATTGTTTGCATGAGTATCACTTAATTGGGCGTTTAACCCAACAGGCTTCTGCCTGTGTGAGAAGTCTGGTTATGTTCTGCACCTGCCTGCAGCCTCCTCGCACTGGTCTCAGGTGGAGTTATATATTCCCGCAGCATCCTGATGGACATTTTGTCATGACGACAGGTAGACAGGTACTAAATATTCCTGAATGGTTTCCTTGAAGTCAGGTGTGAGGCCTCCCCCTGAGACAGAATGATTACTTTTTTACCCGATCAAACACACAGGTTGTCTCATTGTGTTGTTTTTATAGTAACAGCTGGAATAGTTTGACATTTTGTGCATTTTCTTATTTTCCTTTTCTTTCTTATGTGTGCAAGAAGCCAGGAAGAAAATGTTTTCCCAATTTGTTGTTTGTCTGTGATATTATGCAGCTCATTCTCTCTGCGGAATGTTACTGGCATTAACTGACACACCTGATCCTCAGGCTTTTATCCAATTCTGTTTTTCTGTCTCATCTCTGCTGGCCTGGCCTGTTTGAACCAGCATGCTCATCGTCATAAACATACGTGTTTGTTCATGATCTCTCCAGATTGCCACCCCCCTCCCCCACCTCAGGCTACAGGTTGAACATACTCAGCATTCATTTGGTCCTCAGGTCCCTGCACCCGACAGGTTTTATAAAAAGATAATTTCATTCAATGGTTGTTGACAGAGGATGTGCTCATGCGGGCTGTCAGCACAGTGGTGTAACAGGAGGATACAGTCGTACGTTTAGCTGTTTCCAGTTTGCGTTTGCAGGCTTGAGGAATGCTCACAGCGGGCGGTGAAGCAACAGACGTACAACAACTCTGTCTCCTACCAAGTAGCTGCCCGCAGTGTTTTGTTTGTCCTCCGTGCTTATCTGATGGATAGGGGGTTTTTTTTGTCTTGGGAAGTCTCCAGTCATGACAGGAGATCCTCGGGGTAACAAGATAAAGCCACGAGAGGAATCGCCCAACACAGTTTGCTACCTTTTTAAGCTTTTGTATCTTTCAGAAAGACAATGTATTCTGTCGTAAACCTTCCAATCCACGGTTGTCTCTTAGGAAGTGAGATCCTGGAAACACCCCAGAGTAAACTCCCCTGGAGGGAGTTGTAATGATCACATTTTATCTTTGAAGTTTGGGTGCAGTTGTCCTCTGCAAAACCATCATGAAAGGAGCCAGTTTCAGCAGGCCAACACACCTATGTTTGATGACTGCGCTGGAACAAACAGTGTGGTTGTACGTTGAGTCAAGAGGAGAAGCGACTGTATTTAACTGTCTTAGCGTACCTCGATATAATTTGGTCCCCCATTCTGTAAAACCAAACCAGAACTATATTACGTGTATTCAAGGAATAACAGCCTTTAAACTAAAACCAAACCACTCGTTAAATGGGGAGTAGGACAGTATTGGCATCTTTTTACATTCCTTCATGCTATACTATCGTATGTAAAGCTACAGGAAACAGTCTTAATGTAACGTGTCAGTCCACATCTCAAATCAGTGAAGAACATGAGGAATACAAGGAAAACATCTTACTGTATCTCCCCCTACCATTTCCTCTCTTCATCCCCAGGGTTTGACTCAAATGCTGGCAGAGCAGGAAGGAAAGGAATGAGGAGATTATTGACTCGCACTGAGCAGATAGCACATGATCCGAGCCCTCGATACTAAAGCAATATCTACTGCATGTGTTGACGCACCCAGCTGCTCGATCCAAAGGCAAGGTCACAGAGGTTTCCTGATCATCGCAGTGTTTCTCTCTCTGCGTCTGAAGGTAAATACAGCAGATTCTCAAACTAGGGGAGTGCTGTGGATTCTTCAATCGCTTTTCCGCAACAAACATTCTGCAGCCCTTGCCGAGAGCGTCCCCCGTGTGAGGAGCGTGCATCCATAATTCATCTTTCACTTTTTCTCGCATTATTCCAGCTCCCCTTCTGCATGTTCCCTGCGTGACCTTGTCCCCCTCCTCCCCCTCCTCCCCCGCCTCTCCCTCCTCCCCCTCCTACCTCATTCCGATGTGTGTGTTAAACCCGGTCTTGCCACAGTGAAGACACGTGAAGTGCAAACATTTCATGTCAAAGGCTCCGCAGAGTAAACATTTCTAATGCCAGGACTGCTATTGATAGATCTCGCTCAGTGTTTCGTGTGAGACACAATGTGCGAGTCACTCACCTTCCCTCTGGAGGAAAATGCATGACCTCAGCTGAACAGCTCTGGGGAGGTTTTGGGAGCGAGAGAAAGGCATTACTATTGCACAAATGAAAAAAAAAACACTCCAGTTTAAAAGGCAATGTGTGTGTCTGTTGCCATAGCGATCTTTCCATTAAGTCACTCGCCGGGGCTTTTTTCCAAACAGGGCTCGCCCGCCTACTGACAGAATGAAGGACGGAGTGACGGAGCGGAGAGAGAAAAAAAAGGGAGCGAGCTGATGTAGAAATGTAAGCAAAACAAACAAAGCCAGATAAATATAGGGCTGGTCAGCGAGTGCATGGGCTAAGAATAAAGTCTGAGAGACGAAAAAAACGATGAGAGAGAAAAGAAGGAAGCAGGTGATGAGAGGGGGGGACACAGAGGCAGGTTAGGTGCTGAGGATTACCGCTGATCCCACCCTCTTTAATCAGCAGAGGGAAGAATGAGGGGGGGCTGTTTGAGAAAAATAATAAGCTGCTTCCGTAATCTACCCAATACACCATAATGTAGGTGTTCACACCCACACACGCACACACACACACACACACTGCATCCCATCAGCCCTGCACGCAGCATGAAAGCTCACTACTTGACATTTTCCACAAACACTTCCCTGGACCTCAATGAAATACTCTCCTGCTCTTGGGTAAAGGCCGCCCCTGCACACACACGCAATCACGGAGCGGTTATTCCTCTCCACTCCGCCGCTTTACTTTCTCTCCCTCCTTTTCAACAAGTGTGCATATGCCTTTGTCTGAGAACGACGCCAGGAAAAACATCAAAGTTGTCCAATCCTGCGAGAGGCCTGTGCAACAAAGATGTCGCTCCACCCTGTACTCATGTCTGTGCCTAATAATTTACCCCGACCGCAGCAAAGGCACCGGCTTCGACTCGCTCGATTCAAAAACCCAGCTGGCAGCAACAGGCCTGCTGACATCACCACCACCAGTCTGGTTTCTGAGCTCTTTCTCTTCAGCGTTCATGATGTCACAGCCAGAAACGATGTCACGTAACAGCCCGTAGAGGCAGAGAAAGAGCTTTCATTAGCACGACCACGTATGTATTTTTGTGCTTTTGTGAAAGTTTGCGGCAAAAGTCATTTACCAAACCGCCCTGGAGGGACGAGATGAGGCCGGGCTTTTAATGTGGTGGGAGCGCGGAGCGGGGAACCGTAACACCTCGTGGTTGCTGGAGTGAAAAGTTGGCAGGACGCTCAGCACCCCCACACAGTGATTTCTCACCCCATGAGCCAGACCCGTTGTGTTGTTGACACATAGTGCCCAGAATCCAGCGGCACTGTTGCAGATGTACGTGACTCAGGATGACCTCACGTACGGCTCTGACCGTAGAACAGGAAATGATCCCTGTCATCGGATGCGTGTGTGTGTGTGTGTGTGTGTGTGTGTGTCATGGTTGTCCCCGTGAATGTTTAACAGCTTTTGTTTTGTTCCCCTCAGGTGCGTGAGATTCTGGGCCGGTGTTCCTGTCCGGCTCAGTTTCCCATGGTCAAGGTGTCGGAGGGGAAGTACAAAGTGGGAGATTCCAGTGCGTTGATCTTCATACGGGTAGGCCCTCACCTCCATTCACCGAGTGATTCTATTAACAAACATGTTGTTGTTTTAGCTTGATTACATACTTTACTTCAAAACACTCACTCACACTGTGGTTTTTGCCTCCATCATTGTTGCAATGTTGCCGGATCAGAAAAATTAGTACGAAACCTAAATGGTCCCTTTTTCATGTCATCATATAGAAGCTACTTTGGCCCACTGCACAGAAGACTGGGAGGCCCTGCAGTAATTGCATGGAACCACACAGTGTTGGCATATGGCATCATGTGTTGTTTCAAGGAGAGCAGGGTTGTGCAGACAAACCCCTCAGCTGCCTGGTTGTGTGTCAAAGACCAGAGAATGGTACGCTGTATATAGCAGCATTGTGACTCCTGTCTCTCATGCGAGTGTTTAGAAAGTGGCCCACTCCCAGGACTGCACTTTTTCCCCCGTGAGACATAATTAGAGCTTTAGGTCACTTCCTGGGTTGGCCCTTATCTTGACTGTAGCATGTTTCTCCTGGACTGTTTGTCTCAGTTCCAGTTGAAGAGCTGCCTCCGAACCCGCTGCAGGCCTCACAGGACCAGGCAGGAAGTTTGGTTTGTACCGGAGATCGATTTGGTCTCACTTACCGGAAATGACCCGCCCAGATTAATGTGACTTAATGGCTGGTGGTCCTATCATGTGTCAAAGGTCAATAATACGTCACTGTTAGCGGCACCGCTTTTTCCAGACAGGGAGATGTGATGAACACAACGTGGTCTATAGTAATGTTTGGCATACGCGCCTCTATCTGGGAAATAGTATTTTCTACATTGTTCAAATGTGTTGTGTGTACTAAATCCAGTTGGACTAACTGTAAGGGACTGTAGTATTAAATTTAAAAAAGGCTTTTTATATTAATAACAAATTGTTTTAATAACAAACAAGGTTTAGATAAATAATTTTAGATTTCTCTAAAAATGATAAAATAACACATATTAATGGAATAATCAAGCCACCAATGCACACACTAACCCTGGCAAACATAAAATCATTAATATTCCAGCCACTCCCTATTTCGGATCTAACATTGATTTTCCAAGCACTCTTAAGTGTGTGTCCGTCATATATTAAGTCCTAAACCAGAAACGGGATTGTTCGGCTGTGCATTTTTATTTTATTTCATAAATGCCCCATTATGAGCAATCAGGCACAGTAACGGCATCATTTGAGGCTGCTAAATTATTCCTGCGAGGCTCTTGTGATGGAGACCTCCCTCCCTTCAGCAAAATGAAAAATACATAACCTCACCTCCCTTCTTATCATTTTCTAACGCCCCTGAGAGTGAGCTGTCTGACCAATGGACGCTCATGTTTTCCTGTTGGAGCAGACATTTTAATTGGATAGACGTATTTACATGTAACTGTTTGCAGCGTATGTGTGTGTGTGTGTGAGCCTTTGACTTGTCAGATTAGCTCTCATCACTGTCTCCACCCTTTCCTGATCCCTAACGGCGGAGGACTGTGATCACACACACGCGCTCGCGCAGCTACAAGTGCGGCCAACACACTGCCCTTGTTCTTCTGAGGGGAGGAAACGGGCGGGAGCTTTAAAAGCCAGTAAACCCCCATTCAGCATCCGAAGCTCTGACAAGGATCTCGGGCAGAACGAGGAGACGAGGCGGCTAAAGCTAGCGGGGGGGGAGCGGCCCCTAACTTAATACGACGTCTTTGTCCCCCTGGGAGGCCGTCCCCTGGAGGGAGGAGATGCCTTCATTCCAGGGGCACAACGGCTGAAATGACCCATGTCCCTCATTTTTGAGCACACCAGCAAGATTTAAGGAGGAATTGGTTCAACACGCCCCCGCAATGATGACAAGAAGTCTCTCTGTTCGCTGTTGCCATAGAAACAAGGATTGGGTCTCTCCACTGAGCACTGTGATACCCTTCAGTGGTTGGGAAATTAGGCAGCAAAGCCACAGATCTAAAGTGGAACATGGTCCCAAATTGCCACTCAGCCTCAACAGACTAAGTACAAAATGCATAATGATCTTGTTGGTTGTGTAAAGAGGTGACATAGAAATAAATATAAAATGGAACGTATTTAAGACGCTTGATTATTCTTATAGTCCTGCAATTATCCCACTCAAACGCTTTTCTTGGGGGGGGGGGGGTTACCAGTAGCTTTTACCATCATGACAGCTACTCCTCCTCCACAGTGAGTCCCAACAAACCATTAAATAGAGATCTGAAGCCATTTCTATCATTTCACAGCAGCAACTTTATTATAAGATCCTGTTATGTTAAAACTAAAAGAGTTAAGAGAGAAGTAACAGCAGATATTTCCTGTAAACTGCTTAGTTTTAGCATTGATTTGTCTGCTGCATTGAAAAAGTTGTAATACAAAGCGAGCAGTTTGAACTGTCAGATCTGATAGAGATAAGCAGATAAGCCGTTTTGACGGATTTGAACAGGCTTGTTTTGGATTGTCAGGGATTGTATTATGGAGAACCTGGGCTCAGCTGACCGTGTCAGAGACCTGGGCGATGAGGCGCTGTGCCGGCTGGGTGATTTGGTAGAAACAAACTCTGCGTGAGCCCACGCAGATCTGGCACTGTGGCTTTGCCTCCCTGCCCTCTGACGCACGGGTGCAACCCTGAAAACATGTGGTCGGTAGATCGCACAGACCCACGGCTGGGGGGGCTGATCCGCGTGGCTCGCACATCCGGCAAATTGCGCTGCTCCGCCGAAGGCGTCCTCTCTGCTCCCCTCCTCCGGCAACTGTAGTGTGAGCTGAGGAGCAGAGAGGACAGCAGGGGTGAGTGGCCATGCTAATTCAAAAAACACGGGCAATCCAGCTGAGAGGCATGAGATAGGCCCAAAAAACGGGGGGAGGTGGGGCTCTCACAGCACTTTGGTCTCCTTCTTATGCTACCGTACTCTGCTTAATTGCGAGTTGGCATGGCAATGAACTGCCCTCGTAATGGCAGCAGCTGGGGGTGATGTGGGAGAAAGAGGAAGGGTGGGGGAGGGAGAGGCAGGGGCACAGGCAGGGGTGCTTCTAGATGTTGCATAACATTGAAGACCGGTCAGCCTTCAGCGAGCTGCCCCACTTGTGGAATTTGCATATCTATCGACTTATGCAGTGTGTGTGTGTGTGTGTGTGTGTGGGAGTGCACTTTTTCAAAAGGTTCAGCCGTTTTATTTGAGCATGAATGTGTATGTTACTCTGCGTTCATCTATTAAAGCCTTGTCTTCTCTGTCCCTGCCTCAGGTCCTTCGTACTCATGTGATGGTGCGTGTTGGAGGGGGCTGGGACACATTAGAGCACTATCTGGACAAGCATGACCCGTGTCGCTGTGCTGCTTTTGGTAAGGTCACTTCTTGTTGCCCGTCGGCCTCTTACAAAAGAGCTTAATTGTTTTCTGTCCGTGTTGCATAATTCATAATCCATTTAAAAGATGCAACAAATAACTCAAATCGTATGTGCTGTGTTCAGGGCAGCAGCAGCAGACTGTGAGGGTCGGTAATGTGGAGGAATAGCGTTTGTCAGATAGTCCTAATAGATAATAGATAGATAGAATAGATAGAAAAAAGTACAATAAGTACAATTTTAAATAAATATGTTTTTATTATAACAGATTTGACATTGTTAAATTGGTGTCATGGTGAAACCTGACCAAACAGTTACTTCCAGACTGAAAATATAGGCAATAGACATGCGACCTGTCATCTGTGGGGCAACTCATCTTAACACAAATACTTTTATTTGTGTTGCTCATAAACCATTCAGTGCCTAAGCTCACTGTGATTAACAGTATAAAGCGGTGCGACACAGCCATACCGTGTGCTGGATGACCATGAATCGTGTCCTCTCTTATCTGTGGGTCCAAACTGCTGCTGAAGTGATGATGCCAAAGGCCGAGCGCTTGGCCTGGACAGCTGACACTACGAGGACAAGCGTCCGCATCACAGATCAAAGAGTATTAAGTGATAACAGACTTATGCCTTTTTTGTTCTATAAATGTTCTTCCTAAATAGTGGCACATTCAGCATCTGGTCGGCTAGTATACACAAGTAAGGGTCTGTGGCTCTGGAAAGCCACACCACATCTACTGCTGTGGTTAACTATCATGTAAATCTTATAGAGTCTATTCCCGGTGATCGTACAGGCATCTGACAATATTGTTTATTAGTCCGTCTTCAACCGTTGTTATCGATCTCTCTCCGCAGCGCACCGCTACCACCAGGCTAAATCTAGTGGCCAGGGAGCCCAGAGCAAGTCCTCAAGTGCCCACTCGTCCCGCTCCACCAGCCCAGGTCCCCACTGGCGAAACGATGGCATCGCACCGTACAAACCTCCCGACAGGCCCGGCCGCTCCCAGAACCCGTCCGCCCCCACCGAGCTGGACTCTGGCGCAGCTCGTCCTCTACTCCCACGGCCGCCGCGAGACCGCTCAGAACCGCGCCACTTTAATCTTCTCAGGTGAGTGTGTGTGTGTGTGTGTGTTGATAAGTTTGTTTTCTGGATAAGAAATGAATTCTTTACAATTAGCCTGGCAGGTCACGCTCAGTGTCAGCTTGTTCTTATGTGCCCTCAGATGAACAGACGTACGGAAAGACACACACACACACACACACACAGCTCCGGGAATGTGCATAACAAATCCACATGCCAGGCAGCCACAGATTAGGTCAGAGCAGATTTATCTAATCTCAGGTGACATTGCCCTGATAAACCCGTCTCACGTTGCCATTTTGCAGCTTTTCTTAGTAATAACAACATAAAAACAAACATAATTTACTCAGCTCTCCTTTTCCCCACCTATTCAAATTAGATCCAGTAATTAGACTGTTGCGTATCTGGCCATGGAGAACAAATCATCTGAAATAGTAGATGGCTAGAAAAGCCAGTGACAAACGAAAGCACACATCCTTTTCTCTGACATGCTTCTGACGTAGCGGCCACGCAGGTGAGTCACGGCTACAGTTGTGACATGTTAAGGACACTCACGTGTGGTTTCATTTGCATTTGGCTCCTTCTGGCGGGTGTAAAATCTTAATTGGTCACAAACCTTCCCAGAGTTGCCAACTCTCACAGTTTTGCCGTGAGACACACGCTTTTGCATCGTTGCATCTTTGCATCGTTTCACACGCACTCACGCCACACATCCTATTTCTCACGCAAAACTAAAATCTGATTCTGGTCCGGGACTCGTTCCTTCCTTTTCAAACTCGCATCTGTAACCCTATTCGCTGCATAGACATCCTTTCTCAACATCTAAGTCTTGCGTTCCCAGGAGAATAGACTTGGGAGACGGACTCGGGAGTCCTGACTCACAGGAACGGGACAACGGTCATTTCTGCAATCTGAACAGCAGCTGACTTGACGTCACCGCATCAGCTGGTTTTGCTATTATTTTACTATCAAGCTTGTTTCGTTTAAAAAAATGTAAAATGGTATATAACATTATATAATGGAGCACCAGAGTAAATATGTATATATTTATATATATATATATATACACATCTTTCTAAACATGATGAAGAGGAGCAGATGTAGTTTGTGTTGCTGCTTAACTTTACTGGATTAAACTGACTGGTGTATATTTAATTTGTATTCATATTGGATGTAAGAAACACATAAAACGTTACAGAGGAGAACATTTAACTCAGGGCTGTTGTATTACATCACACTGCAAAGGCTTGGTTTCATAAAGTAAGAGGAGGTTGGATACAGTAACAACAATAAAAGAGTTAATATTTTACTGGATAGTAACACATTCTGCACACACACACCTACCGTTTGTCTTATTGTTACTTAAACATCAAGGGGCCGATAATCAGTGTGGTGGTCCTTGTACAGTTAAATGTATAGACATCACTATAAATTAAATTGAAAACGTACCTGAACCTCATCTGTGTCTCTACATTAATAGTGATTAACCTCATAGTATTATATATATATATAACATAGTGATCAATGAGGCTACATAACGTAAGATAGATGACATCATTAGTGATCATTAGTGATTAGTGAGTGATAGTATTTAATATCTATGATACAATGATCAATCAACCTTGCCCACAGATCAGATGACTAACCGGCTTCCGATCTGCATCTGATACCTAATTTTTAGTTATTTCTATCATGTGTTGATCCATCGTATTGCTTCAAAAGGCGACTGTTTAAGCACTTTATTTGTTCCACATCTTTAGTATACCACCCAGAAATCCATCTACTTAAACCAAACTGTCCTGGGAGTCGACCTTTAGCTCAACGTGTGTGGCTGCGTGCGCGGTAACATTTTGGTCACTCCCGACAAAAATCTTGTTTTTTGAAAAGTTGGCAGCTCTGCCTTCCCTGTACGTCAGAGAGAAGACGCCATTGTTTAACACAATTTGGAGCTGAAGGGTGGTTTACTTTGGCTTCTAGCCAAAGTGTGGCTCATTTCTTTATTGAGCCACGGCTCAGACCAGAAGTCGGGGCAACGGCTCATTCCATTAACCCTGCGGGGGAGGTGGGGCATCCTGTTTCAAGTGCGCCACGCTAGATGAGGACTAATCTGACAACTATCCCTAGACGACTGTTTACAGCTAACTAGGGAAGTAGGTCAACAGGTGGGCTCCACGCAGGCAGGTCAGCACGCCTCAATATATACAAATCTCATTTCTGTGGATGACTTCTGAAGTCTAGTGTAATCAACATGAATCAAAGGCACAGCGTGTCATCTAAATTAAAGTATGTATGTTCAACCTGGCTACCGACATTTGAAACGCAGGACGTCAACATGTTGTCCTTCACATATTCACCCGCGGGTCTTGTAATGAATGGACTGCGGCCCACGTTGTAGTCAAGCCTTTTTTATGCTTTTCAGTTACAGCAGTGAATCTTTGGGTAAAACCGCCATGCTCTGCTAGGATAAGTTAAGAAACCGACCAAATGTAGTATTCTCTGCATTTATTAGATTAGATTAGATTCAACTTTATTGTCATTGCACAGAGTACAAGTACTGAGGCAACGAAATGCAGTTCAGCATCCAACCAGAAGTGCAAAATAGCAAAAAGTGCAGAGTATGTGCATATGTAAAGTGTAATAAGTGAATAAATAGATATGTACAGTAAGAAATAGATATGCAATATGAACAGTTTATTTATAGAATTATTTATGCGAGCAAACATTGGATCTTCATAGGCAAACAAATAACAAACCCTCCATGTCCAACTTACAATACATACTTTGACCTTTGCTTATTCAATACATACTATAACTGGTTATAGAATTACACTTGATGGTGACTGGTTGAGAAAGTTCTATGTGTTGGGTTTGAACAGCTTGATGTTTGTGGAATTATTACAAATAAACATGATTCTGTTTCTTCTCTACAGGAATAAGGAGACAAAATTGCCAGTGACAAGACGTCTGTCTGGAGACAGTGATTCCTCAACAGCCTCCTCTAAGGGAGGCGGCGGCGGAGGAGGTGGAGGAGGAGGACGGTTCTCTCTGGGTGGGGCCTCACGGCGCTCTGGTGACGAGGTAGTCCTGCTTGTCAATCGCAAGGAGGGGAAGCATGTGATTGAGAGACCTGGAGCTGGTGATCAGAGTCGATCCCTGCGTCCCTCACCGCCCCGGGCACGCAGCCAATCACGGGAACGTACCGCTCTGGCTCCGATACTCAAACCAAACCCGCCACAGGGATCCGCCGACGGATCGCGAACTTCCCGTACCGAGAGGGGCCGATCCCTTGGAAACGAGGGCCCGAGGCGGCTCCACGCTCCACGTTCCCACAGCCAGAGTAAGCTGACTTCCCGTACTCGGCCCAGTGATGCCAGCCCAGGACCCGCTTCCTGCTTCAGAGACACTCAGCCCCCACCATCCGACAGACGAGAGGAACTTCGAGCCAAACAATTGCCCCCATCCTCTCCCAGGATAAGCGGTGGGTTCACCAAGAGGCAGTCGTCCTCTTGCTCCAACTCACCCGTTAAAGGGGTCCAGAACGTCAACAGCAGCCCCAGCAAGAAGATTATAACTACTCCCAGACCCCCCGCCCCTCGCTCCCCCTCCATAGGAAAAGGCAGACTTCTGCCCCCAGTCACCTCGGGGGGTCGACGTTCACCTCACTCGACTCCCCGCAACTCTCACCATCACGCTGCCCGTTCCCCTCGGACGCCCCAGGGCTCCTATGGGGCTCCTCGCTCTGCTGGGAGAGGCCCCCAGAGGAGCTGGTCTGGCCTGGAGCGCCAGCTGCCTGAAGAGGAAGGACTGGACTTTGGCTTCCAGATGCTGCCAACCCTAGACCCCCAGAGGGAGCAGGACCTGTATCGCAGCTTTGAGGCTGAGCTTTTAGCCAATACCCAGCAGTCTACAGGAGGGTCTATTAGAGCCACGGGAGTAACGCTGCACGGAGCTGCGGTGCATTCAGTGTCAGCACCCATTGATCCCAATGTCAATGACTCTGCCTATTCCTCCTCTAACTCCTCCTCCTCATCCCTCAATGTGGGGGCAAAGATTGGAACACTGCCTGACCTCAGGGAATCCAAGAGAACTAATCCCCGACCCTTTCCATCCGAGGACCCCTTAAATTTACTTTATGGGCATAATTTTGGAAGTTCACACAACTTTGGTCAAGGAGAGCCTGAGCACTGGAGGGATCGAGGAGGGGGTCTCAAAAAGCTCCCGGCCATCTCTAGCTCCGACGAGGAGAAGGCTCCGCCATCTTCCCTGCCTGGTCTTGGTGAACCAGACAGATTTATGAATCAGGTCCCCACGCGACCTGCTTTCCACTGTAGGAATATGAATGGGGACCATGGAGGTTGTCCTCCCACGGGGGGGCTGGCGGCTCAGCAGAGTCAGCTTGGCTGGGGCACATTGCCCAAAGGAGATGTTCCTCTGGAGAATCACAAGCCGAGCCTACCTTACGGCCTAGAAAATGGGGATGGCGGTGATGACCTCCCGCCACCAGAGGCGTGTCCGTCACCTGTGCACCTTCCCCCTTCCGAGGACTGCTCCTTCCAGGATTCTTCCAGTGAAACCTCGTCCATGTGCTTCAGCCTGAGTGAATCGCGCTCTGAATCCCCCCCGCCATCTTCACCCGTGGCCAACGGGGACAACAATGTAGACGGGCTTCAGATCAAGAAAGGGCACAAGAAAGCAGACAGCGTGGACCCGATGTCAAAGCACAAACTGGGCAGAATAAGGCCTCGCACCGACAACAGGCCAGAAAACAGCCCCTCGCGTATCCCCACCCCGGTCAGCTACAGAGACCTGCAGGCTCTCGACACATTTTCCCCGAGCCACACGCCTCCACTGTCTCCGCAGAGCTCGCGCTCTGCTGGTCAACCAGCCACATGCAAGAGCCTGCACCAGGCATTTGCAGATATGATCCATACTCAACCGCGTTGCCCAGCCATAGGCAGCAAGGATTGCTCCTACCCTGCACAGTCAGGGAGCCTGGACACTGAAGCCTGGATGTAGCACAGATAAAATAGGGACTTGTTGTCATGAACTTTGACTACTGTGTAAAAAAAGAAATGACTTGTGATTGGGCAATGGGACTTTTTTCATTGCATGTCTAACACCTTCTTTTTACTTAGTTTCTCCCATGAAAAACTGCAGTGGGTTCACATTGCTTTTATGTTGCACTCAAGCCAAATTATTTATTACCAAAGGAATGGTTTTTAATATTACTTTACTATTACGTCATTTACTGCATGGGGGTGTTTGTGTTTTTGCAAAGACACACTGAAATGCTCATGGTTGATACAGAGAGATAAAGAGAGAACATATGTGCTGCCATGTGCCCCGCCGAGGGGCATGATGAAGTGCCAGGGATTTAAAGCTGCAACTCAACAAACAGTGTTAACACTAAACCTTTAGTCACATGGAGTAGCTCCCTCTTGTGGTTGGCCACTGTATCTCTGCTTGCCTTGATAGTCAAAATACTGGTGTGCTGACAGTATGTATCAGTCTCTCCACATTAGTGGTCTTCATATACGACTCTGTATGCTTCAATTTACAATATACTAACAGGTAACATGGATAAAGGTACCCCCATCATTCCCCAGAACACTACATGTACCACCAAATCTCTGTACAGTTGTCTGCTGTTATTGATGTAGGATGTCACTGTTTCACAAATACCAAGATACATGTTTGTTTTTAAATGCTTTATGTTCTAAAGGGTTTCAAGATTATGTTTGATGCAGTAAAAAGTTTTTTTTTCTAATTTCAAGTGGATTAAGTTTAAAACAAAAAAGTGGTGCAGTGAAGGATGTGTTAGGCACTTCTGCTCTAACTAAACCATACTCTGGAATACAATGCACCTTATATACAAAAGTCAAAGGCTGAGGAGAATGAATGTGTTAATACATATTGATTTACTCACTAATATACGTGGGTATTTTGTATATAAAAAGGCATTGAATACACAGTTTAATGTACATTTTCACTGTAATCAGTTTTGTGCTGCCTTAGCTATGCAATGTTGGTGTTGGAAATGCCTTGACAATTCCCTTTGCCTTAAAATGTGGCAGGTTAGTTTTTGAATGTTTTTGCTCAACATTATTAAGATCTATTCAGTAACACTACGTTGCCATCATTCACTGTTTATGATATTGGACGTTTTGAGTGTGAATGTGGAAATAAGTGAGGGACATTGCCAATCATTAATCATACATTATACTTATTGTAGATGTACAATTCATGACAAAGATATATAATTTATTGCCTCCGCCCGTTTGGTAACACAGGAGCCAGATAACCTACTTAGCAGTTTAATTTGAAAGGCACAATATGGTGATTCTTAGTGGTTAAAGAAAGACATGTTTTAGTCAAAGTACATGATGGTGTTATCCGTGCCGCTTATTTGAGCCAATGACAACATATTGTAAGGCAAAGTTTGATGGACGAATAATGGATCGAATTGGAATAAGTGTCTGAATTTGTGCAACATCGCATGAATAATATATGCTGTTACTGGATATGAATATTCTCTTGTGACGCTTTGCACATTTGTCGAGGCTTTAAGAGGCCAGATCCCAGCTCAAGTCCTTCTGTTTTAGGTATTGAACAGGTGTGGACATTGTAAAATATGTTTGAAAGTGTAAAAGTTGAATTAGGAGAAGTTCGTGGCCATTTGTTTTTGATGTGCTACTTACAAGGGTTTTGAGAAAGAATGCTGTTTTGTAGGGCATTGACAAATTAAATGGGCTAGAAAAAAAGAATGTGCATACGTGTGTGCATACAGTATGAGAATATGTACAGAGTTGGAGTGAAGAGGGGACTGATGTAGGTGTAATTTATTTATTTGTCACATTGGGCTGAAGCGACATCTGTCTTCCAATAATATCAAATCAGCTGTAAGTGTTTAGAGCAACAGGCCAGAAACCAATATCATACATTTAAACACGTTTTTCTCAACAATATACTGTAAAGAGACAGAACCTGTTAGAAATGTTGCCACTGTAAAAACTGGTATAAAACAGACAAACTGAACATTTTTGAAGAATGAATATGACATGGACTATACGTTGGTTATGTGATTTAATGCAGACTCCTCATTGAAACAACGTAGGGTGTGTTAGTTTTATAAGAGCTACTTGTATAGCTTGTTAACACTTTCACCTCTGAAAACAGATTTTTACATGTATTGTAATTATTATTTCTATTGGGTTTGGCTTATTTGAAGACATTTACATTTTATTTAAAAAAAAGTATTGTTTGAAGTTGCCTGTTATGTAAACAGTTGCTACATTTTAGCATTTGGTTATCAATCACAAAAAAAGAATGCTTTTCCTAATAATCTGCTCTTTGTCTTGGATCACTCTCTCTCTCACTCTCTTCCTAATCAGCGGAATCTGAATGTTCATGATTTGACATTTTCTTGTTTGCTAATGTTACTTCAGTTAAATGTACAGATTGCTTAAGATCGTGGAATTTGTTTGTATGAAATAGCAATACTGCAACATTTAACTTTTTTCAAAGTTAAAAAGGCTGTCAAGTTGTTCTTGTAATAAATATCTTCCTCCGAAGTTTATGAAACATCTCTGATCACTTTTAATGTAGAGATTTGGTCACTGCAGTGTGGATTTAGGGGAAATTGTGTGAGAAAGACATGCACATTTATGATGAAATAATGAATATTGCTTCATTTATTTATAGTTTTCAAGGTGTCACCTCAGCGGACAGATTAAGAAGCCTTCCACATGTAAAAGCACACGAATGAATAAAGTCCACAGTTTCAATAAAGTGCCGTAAGGAACGTCTTCTTTGAAAGAGTTGTTGAAACGCCGCTGTGAGTGAAAGCTGACGCCGCGTAACTCATTGCTGACGTCACGTTTGTGGAAAGGCGGAAGTAAATCAAGTGGGAGGGACGAAAGCCATCACAGCCCTCTGTACGCCTGTCACGGTAAGGTGCTTGTGGAGATTTTCCTCTCCCGATTCATTGTGTGGCGAGTGTAAATTTAACTCCAGAAGGCACGTTAATTCGTCCGGTAAGTTTTAAACCAGGCCGAAAGATTAAGAGCTTAACTATGTCGGCGTGGGCTTCCTTAAGCCTGTACTTAGAAGGTCATGTCTCAGGCTCTAGGAGCTAGAAAAGTGGCCAGACGCTAGCCGACACTGACAGGCACACTGCGCCGCAGAGCTAGCATTAAATACTGGTTTCATTCATCAAACTACTGCAAAGATGCAGGAATGGGCGAATCAATTATGCGTGAGTAGTTGGTCAAATAGCGTCGTTAACTGCCGAACATGCTGCACCAATATAACCTACTTAATCGCTGCATATTTGAGTTTCTTTCCACCAGGATTATTACACTTTCGAGCCTGTTATGCTAGCGTTAGCTTCATGCTAGCGAACCCATCCCCTACTTTCTGGCTAAGTGAGCAGGCATACATTTAAAGTCAGCTGACATTCGTATGAAGTGCTCCAGTTGTTCATCTGAAACCCATTCAGTAGTATACTCGGTTTAGTGTCGCAGTCGCGTGGTGGCTGTGTGGACTCCAAGACCACCAAAAAGTAACGCTACCGTAATCTGCTAGCTAGCGTTATGTCGTCTTGTTAGCTAACTTAGCTAACGTTAGCTAATGATCGAATTTGGTTAGCTTGTGTCCAACAGCCTGTCTGCTGTTGACAGCATAGGACACATGGAGCTCAATGAGTAATTAAACTGCGGCTTAAAATGAATAACGACAATGAAACTCATTTGTTGACGTAGTAATGTTAATGTCAATTTAATGTTACTAAAAGAGACGCTTCTTCCCTTTATGCTGCTATCTAATGACTGTAACATCACTGTGGGGGCATCACTGTTCCTGCAAGTTTCAGAAACTTCATTAGTAGAAGTTAACTAATATGTAATCTTGTGATTAGATGCCGCCTCTATTAATCGGTGTAACTAAGCAACAACCAGGACAAGCATCCGTTTTTAGCATTGTGGTAATGAAGGAGCATAAACACGACTAAACTGCATATTTAAAACTTTACACACTAACCAGAAAATACATGCAAAAGTAAAAAAAAGGCAAACTGAGCAAGTTTTGGCTTTTTAACTCTAACGCACTATGGCTAAAATTTTACTGCAGGAAGTATTTTTGCCTGAATGAGAGCTGCTGCTGCAAGAGACTGAGTCATCTACATAGTGGGTCCCACTCTGCAGCAGTTGACTATTGTTGCCAACAATATCTCCATTGCCAACACGTTTCATGGCTTAAGAGGAGATTTGTCTGTTTTTTCAGAGATCCATTGTTTTCTTTCAGATAGATCGCTGCCATTTGTTCAGGACAGACGGAATTCCTCTTATTTTCCTCTGTTGGCACTTCCAGAGTTTCCTGTTGCTCAAAGTTTCCACTCAGAAAAAGATTCACAGTCAGCTCTCTCTCCCCGTCTATCCTTTGCAGGAGAATCGACAATTTGGATCCAAGATGACGGACTCAAAGTACTTCACCACTACCAAGAAAGGTCTGATTGCTGTTATGTTAATTCGACAGATAACATATGTACATTGTAGTTACATATGTGTTGTTTGTTGTATGGATATTGATATGTGTGCATTGCTAATTGATGGAGCTAGACATTTTACTTTTTTGTTTTGTCATCACCATGCTTGGTATCAACATTAGTGCCATCTCTACTTATTGTAAATCTGATTAGACCTATTGCGCATTAGCTCTGAGATTTAACTGTCCTGCTGCACCTTCTGTTGTAATTGTGTAGCACTTCTCATGCTCTGTAATTGAGCATATGCCCTCTGTCTGTCCGTATGTGCGTGTGCGCATGCATACACAGGCTCTGGAATTGCAAAACAATGTTAATGTGGGATGTTGTGAATACTTAGTTAAAGTGGTACGGTTGCTTGAGTGTGTGTGTGGGTTTTCTGTCCAATGTTGCTGCTGGAGGGCTGTGGTTAACATCTTAAAGGAGATTTGGAGAGCTTTATGGTTTATAATGTCGGTGAAACTCATAGTAGGTAGACTAAAATATAATCCCAAAATTGACAGTGTGCTGGTGGTGTAAGTTGTATGTACAACTCAGTAGCACAATTAACTGAAATTTGAAAAGTGAAAAAAAATGTAATTAGAAGTATCTCCACTCATGGATAATGATAACCAGTTCATGATATTAATGGGTATATTGTTCTGTACTTACATGCAGTTTCATGTAATCAAATTGACATTAATTATTTCTTCCTGGAAAAAAAAAAAATCACTCGTGCACTCTCAGGATTGACCAACTAAAACCACTGACGACTAATACCACCCACCAGTCTCACAAACAGCTGGGAACCAAGTCAATGCTGTGGTGCTCTTATCCAGTTTCTACCCACCCACCCTCCATGTGTGTGTTTGATTTGTATGCTCTTGTGTGTTCAGGGGAGATCTTTGAGCTCAAGGCAGAGCTAAACAGTGATAAGAAAGAGAAGAAGAAGGAGGCTGTGAAGAAGGTCATTGCATCCATGACAGTGGGAAAGGATGTCAGGTGAGACAAGGAAAATAATCTCCAAAATATCCACAATGAAATAATGGGCTGTAACAAATCTCCTGCCATTTTGAATCGGTGGTCACTTTACACTTTGTCCCTCCTTTAGTGCTCTCTTCCCAGATGTTGTGAACTGCATGCAGACGGACAATCTGGAACTCAAGAAGCTGGTCTACCTCTACCTGATGAACTATGCAAAGAGTCAGCCGGACATGGCCATCATGGCTGTTAACACCTTTGTTAAGGTAAAGCCCAGTCTTTCTTATATTACATGACTAATGGAGCGTTTGAGTGTTGTAACCTGTTATAATGGAAGGGGAAACACTAAACAACCTAAAGAAAAAATCTTGCCATTATCTCAATTGAATGAGGTCATTATCAAAGATTGATGATGTGACACCTTAAAATATATTTAAATTCTGTACAGAATGTTGATGCAAACAGATGTTAAATAATTAAGAATTGTCTATTTTGGTATGATTATAAAAATAAATCCAAAGTTGGGGCCAAAACCTATGACACCTCTGAACCACCCATCTAGGACTGTGAAGATCCCAACCCTCTGATCCGGGCCCTCGCTGTTCGCACAATGGGCTGCATCCGCGTGGACAAGATCACCGAGTACCTGTGTGAGCCGCTGAGGAAATGTCTGAAAGACGAAGACCCGTATGTGAGGAAGACGGCCGCTGTGTGTGTCGCCAAGCTCCATGATATCAACGCCCAGTTGGTGGAGGACCAAGGCTTCCTGGACACCCTTAAAGACCTCATCTCTGACTCCAACCCTATGGTACGACTCCTCCAGGCAGCCCACGATGTAGCTGGTTTTTCTTTATTTACGTGACATATTTTTCTAGCAGCATTTACCTGTACTCTTGTTTTCATCTTTTAGGTTGTAGCAAACGCGGTGGCAGCGCTGTCTGAGATAGCCGAGTCTCACCCCAACAGTAATCTACTGGACCTGAACCCTCAGACCATCAATAAGTTGCTGACTGCTTTAAATGAGTGTACAGAGTGGGGACAGATATTCATTCTTGACTGCCTGGCCAATTACACACCTCGAGATGATCGAGAGTCCCAAAGGTAAGCGAAAGCACTGCCTTCATCAAAGGATACATTACTATTTAAATACACCCATTTAAACCCTGTGTAATGTTTCTCCTTCTCTCTCTCTCTCTCCACCCAATACCATCAGCATCTGTGAGCGCGTGACCCCACGACTCTCCCACGCCAACTCTGCAGTGGTGTTATCGGCTGTTAAAGTTTTAATGAAGTTCATGGAGATGCTTCCCAAAGACTTGGACTACTATGGCACCCTGCTTAAGAAGCTCGCCCCTCCACTGGTCACCCTCCTCTCTGCTGAGCCCGAGCTGCAATACGTGGCTCTTAGAAACATCAACCTCATCGTACAGAGACGGTAAATGTGGGGAGATCATGTATGGAGGTCTCTTTAGTGTTCTTCATACTAGTGAAACTTGTTGTTATTGTGGTATGCTGCTTTTAGTGGAATTTCCTTTTACGTCACTGTATGTTTAATTACAGATTGCCAGAAACATTTCTTTTCTCCTCTCCTCCTTTTAGGCCGGAGATCTTGAAACACGAGATGAAGGTTTTCTTCGTAAAGTACAATGACCCAATCTATGTCAAACTGGAGAAGCTGGACATCATGATTCGCCTTGCATCTCAAGCAAACATCGCGCAGGTACTTCATCCACAGCTGTAATGCTATTGTTGGAAAAGTACTAGGACGCATTCTGTATAGGTGCTTTTACAAAAGCAAAGCCATTGGTCACAAACTCCCAGCAGTGACCCTGCTGCTTGTCTGTCTCTCTGTAGGTCCTGGCTGAGCTGAAAGAATACGCCACAGAGGTGGACGTGGACTTTGTACGCAAAGCGGTCCGGGCGATTGGCCGCTGTGCCATCAAAGTAGAGGTGGGTGGAGATGAGGTCACGCGGTCGCCAGATGATTTGTCGGTCAATCCCCTGTGTCAGCTATATTGATCAGGACAAACCCATTAGTCTATATGATTGATTATATTTGTTAGTCCTTTTCACTCACTTCGATCATAACATTGTAAATTATAAAACGCCATCAATCAAGCACAGTTTTTGTTTTTCTTATAATGAATACGAGGTTGTCCCTGATGACCCAGTTGTAAAGCCTAATTTGTCATTAAACATTTCATCATGTATAATGCTGTCTTGTCACTGGAGATCAAGAGCAATTAGATGTGATGATTTATGCTTTTATTAAAAGGTACAAAGGAGAACAGATTCCCAGTTCTACACTGCTGGAAAGCGTGTTATTCACTAGATTTGTTGACTCGTACACCACAATGTCAAACTACTATAAAACTAGTTAATTAGGCATGTCATATGCAGGCCCTTTTTATGCATTTGTTTGTTTTCAAATTTGCAGACCTAACATGACAAATTTTCTTTTTCTTTACATTAACTAGCAATCAGCGGAGCGCTGTGTCAGCACGCTGCTGGACCTCATTCAAACCAAGGTCAACTATGTGGTGCAGGAGGCCATTGTGGTTATCAAGGACATCTTTCGCAAATACCCCAACAAGTAGGTTCCTTCTACAGCATCAGTGTGGTCATTTGCAGAGTATTTGATACTATAATTGATAACCTGTCCAGAGTTTTTGTAGTGGACAGCACTTGGAATCTCCTTTATATGGCACCTGGTCAGACAATGTATGGCGGATTGTGCTGGTTTGACTTCTGCTGCAGATCCCACGGAGTGGATTCATGTGCCAGACACAAACCTGCCCACACAGTCCGCGGTAGACGATCTCTCCAAGGGGAGAGGCTTTGCGAGGTTTCCAGCTCAGCATGGCCTAAGCCTTTAGCTACCCACTCAAACATAGACCCCTTCTATTAATTAGACATCAACTGAATAGTTGTGCCTCAGTAAATAGTTTTAATAAAAGCATTATCTAAACGTGATGCCTCAAACAGTGACTGCTTGATAATGTGGAAAGACTCAAAAAGGAGACCAGAGGTAGAAGGACTGAATATTGGGTTCATGTTTGTCAGGCTGCCAGAACACAACTCCAAAGAAATGCTAATGTTGTTCTGTGAGCTGGATGGGAAAGATGCTATTGCATTTGAAAGCTGTGGAGATTTGGTGGCTGTTATCAGACGGCTGTCCCTCCTCCTCATAAATATATGCATGCTTTCTTTTTTTCTTCTTTTTTTTTATCTAAATAATGCTCCGTGGGATTTTTTTTCTTTTTGTCTCCAAATGCATTTGAGTACCCATAATGTTGTTTGCAACTGTCCAGGTACGAGAGCGTTATTGCCACGCTGTGTGAGAACCTGGACTCCCTGGATGAGCCGGAGGCGCGTGCCGCCATGATCTGGATCGTGGGAGAGTACGCGGAGCGCATTGACAACGCCGATGAGTTGTTGGAGAGCTTTTTGGAGGGTTTCCATGATGAAAGCACTCAGGTGTGTTCAGGAGCGGTTTGGGCACGTTGCGAGTTACAGAAGGGTCTGTTTTGAATGGTGGTGTTCCCTATAATCTGTATTCAGTGCTGCCAGTAGTTATAATATGTTTGTTTATGAATTGATTTAAATGTATCAGTAAGCTGCTGGAAATGGAAAGTACATTTTTGTCCATAACTGATGACTGAATTCATATGCTAATTATGGCAATTTAAGACAACGGATCAAATAATAATCCAATAATTGGGTAAATTACTATTGTGCATTCATGGGAAACCTAAGCCCTGAGAGCTAAAAGGAGTTTTTTTTTTCTTCCCTTATGTGTTGTGGATCAGAACACGTCTTTGTTAAAACCCTTGTTCAGATGCAACTTGACGCTACCCAGAGTTTTAGGCTAGATTGTATACACGCCAGCTTTAGTGGATTTATGTGAGCTGTAAGGTGCTGTGTTTGCTCTCTGTGTCCTCCAGGTGCAGCTACAGCTGCTGACGGCAATCGTCAAGTTGTTCCTGAAAAAGCCCACAGAGACCCAGGAGCTGGTGCAGCAGGTGTTAAGTCTAGCTACACAGGTGGGAAACAAACACACACACACACACACACACTCTTATGTTGCCTTTTATCGTCACTTACTCTGATCTATCCATGTCTTTAGTTTGTACAAAATGTTCTAGTCAGACTGAGTTCTCATTTGTACTGAATTCTTCCAGGGATACTAGAGGGGTGCATGAGGCGAGTCCGCTTTGGATCCCACAACGGGAAGATAAAACTGGGCCTCATAACTTTTAAAAGAATCCAAATGGCAAAATTGTTTTTATTCATTAAACTCAAATTATTTGAGAGCCTCACATCTTATCCAATGTTTTACATTTTTTGCTGAACATGAGTTGCAAGCCTGACATGTTTGGTTGATGACTTTGAATCATGGCTCAGTCCCTCAGGTTGGGGCCCAAGGCCAAAAACATGCATTGATAATTTACTAAACATTCATCATTAGTAGTCATCCTCCGTCCCCGTTTTTCCGCTTGTCTCTCTCTGCAGGACTCTGATAACCCAGACCTCAGGGACCGCGGCTACATCTACTGGCGCCTGCTCTCGACAGACCCTGTGGCCGCCAAGGAAGTGGTTCTGGCTGAGAAGCCCCTGATCTCTGAGGAGACGGATCTGATCGAGCCCACGCTGCTGGAGGAGCTCATCTGCCACATTGGTACTCTGGCCTCTGTCTACCACAAGCCTCCCAGTGCTTTTGTTGAGGGCAGCCGTGGAGTTCAGCACAAGAGACTCCCCGGCAGTGCTGGATCGTGAGTCATGCACTTGTTTTTTTATTTTAACTTTGAAAACTTTGGCTTTATCTCTTTAGTTAAGAGGACCTCGCTTCTTGACCTAACGCTGATGTTTTTTTAAATTTTAAATCTGCTGAGTAACACACTTATTGTAGCCATTCAGCTGTTTTTCTGTATTTTTCTTTGTAAGTAATAATCAAATGAATTGCATGAAATGCCCGACTGAGTCTTTCGTTCTTTTTTCTTTCTACTAGTGGCGAGAGTGTTGAGAGCCCAGATCCAGGTGCTGCTGCCACTGAGACACCTCCTGCCGTCATCCCATCCCAGGGAGACCTCCTCGGAGATCTGCTTAATCTGGACCTGACGCCTACTACCACTACTGGACCACCACCACCCACCACCTCCGGCATGCAGATGGGGGCTATGGACCTTCTCAGCGGCGGACTGGACAGCCTGGTGGGTCTTCTACACCAGGGACCCCCCTCCCTGTCGGCCAGTCCGTCCACAACTACTGCATCTTTGTACTTTCTCTTTTTCCCCTCTACCCTTTTGGTGCTTTTTCTTTTTGACTTTTGTTTTCCTTTCTTTGTTCAATGCTGCACCTGCAGATGGGGGATGAGTCTGAGCCGGTAACTACATGGAGGGAGAGGGATAACATTATTAGACCATGTCAGGCCCCTTTTTTCTGTAGTTCTCATGCATCAATCTGATGTTTTCAAGCATTTGCATAGAAGCATACTATATTTTATTTAATGTGATGTCTACAGTAAGCATGTCTTTAAATCTCAAGTCCAACTCTTTTCTATTCTCTGGGCTCTGCGTTATTTCAATCAGCCGCCCATTCCCCTGCGGACGGACACTCGTCACTCACCTCAGCTCCCTCATCAGTCCCCATCGCCCCCAGATTACAGCCCCACTGAGGTTGGTCCAGGGGGCCACGCTGGACCAGTAAAGGCCAGCACCAGTCTCAAAGCCCCCCCAGTCCTCTGTTGTACCACTGTGTCCTCTGAGTAGTTCACCCTAGCAGTGCTCTGTACCTTTTGTGTGTTTTTTCTTGTCAAATATTAGTAGTAAATTTTTGTCACTCTGTGGAATCACGCTATTTTTTTCACTGTACCCCAAACCTTTTAATCACCACTATAGACACATCTAGTGACCAGCATTTGAACGAAAGCTATTGGATTTCAGTAACGTATCCGCCTGACTGCTCTGGGCAGCAAATGGTCCGTTCCACAGAAGAGTATTCCTCCTGTACAGTTGTCTTTCCTTCTCCTTTCACTTGTAAAAAGTGCTTCCCTGTAGCTGTGATTAATCGAGGGAAGGCTTTTCTTAGACCCTCACACCTTCCCATCGTCGTCCAGTGTTAAGTGCTTTACCAGTAGATAACCTTTTTTTCTTTGTCTGTTCCTCAACTATCCAGCTTGGTGGAGACATTGGAGGAAATCCTGCTGTAAGTCATTTGTTTGAGATTTTATCAAACTGAATGCTCGGTATGCGATGTTGAATGTTATGGTAACGTGTTGCCATGTAACCCACAGATGGGGGCTGCTTTCGGTGCTGCACCAGCTACCATGCCAGCCTCTTTCAACGCCCCTGGTAGCGGCGGTCTGGATGACCTGTTTGACCTCGGAGGTGGAGTTGGAATGCCCATGGGGGCCCTCAACCCCCCTAAAGCAGTGAGTCAAGATCCGAGATATTGTAAAGCGATGTAGCACCAGTGTTTGGGTCGCACAAGACGTTTGTGGTCATGTCTCTGCTCAGGTCTGGCTTCCGGCCATGAAGGCCAAGGGTTTGGAGATATCGGGCGTCTTTGTCCGCCGTGCTGGGGTCATCCAAATGGAGATGACCCTCACCAATAAAGCTATGAGTGTCATGACTGATTTTGCCATCCAGTTCAACAGAAACAGGTAAGACCTCCTTAGAAACGTGCTGAGATTTCTATCCGCCAACACATTCCGTGACAATCAACCCCTTTCCTGTGTGTGTGTGTGTGTGTGTGTGTGTGTGTGTGTGTGTGTGTGTGTGTGTGTGTGTGTGTGTGTGTGTGTGTGTGTGTGTGTGTGTGTGTGTGTGTGTGTGTGTGTGTGTGTGTGTGTTCGTCTGAAGCTTTGGTCTCGCTCCGGCTGGTCCCCTTCAGATTCTCACTCCTCTTAGTCCTAACCAGAGTATTGAAGCGGCCCTTCCTCTCAGCACTGTGGGACCCGTCACTGAAGATGGAGCCTCTGAACAACCTGCAGGTAAAACTGAAGCATTGTGTATTTCCCCTTGAGTGTGTTGTGACCGCCGGCTCATGATTTGGTTCAAAGATATTATTGAGTCCATTTTTCCTTCCTTCAACATCTTTTTGCAACCCTACCCTTTTCATACATTTAACGTTATCTTTAAAACAAGTCTTTGCCTTCCCAGCTGTTGGTTGATTGTAATACTGCGCTTTCAGACCTTTTTCTTGAAGCAGATTTTTACTCTGGTCTTTAATTTGTCAGTGAAGAGGGCAGACAGAACGTTCTACTAAGTGAAGACTGACTCAAGTGAACGGGTCCAATGCACATTCTATACGTCTGGTGTGTAGTCTGTAGCATTGCGCTGGGGTTTGATGCACTGGGGCAACAGCAGTGGACCGAGTCGAAATGTTCTGCGAGGGATTCTACGCTCGCCCGTCCATCTGGTCCATTCTCTAGAACCTAATATCTCAGAAACGTCACCAGTGAATTGCTTCAAATTTGACACAAATTTCTACTAGATTAGGTTAGAAATGTGTCCTCACTGTTATTCAACAATACTGCAATACAATCCTCCTGTTGTGAATAAAACATGAAACGACCATCAAAACGGTTGTGGCTTGTCCGTAAAAAAGAGCGGCAGAGGCTGGCTAGTGTTTGATCAGCGTGGTGCTTTTAACTGGGAGCAGAATTGAGGATGGGTGGCGTGCAGCTGGAGGGTGAAGATAAGAGTGGCGAGGGAGGGGGGGGGGAGAGAGGTGTGGGGCATGATGGGACGCACAGCACATGGCTCCTTTGTTTCTCCTGGCCTCAGTAGGTCTGCTAACCTATCCACCCTCTATGTACAGAGCAAAAAAATAGTACGGTGGTCCTCAAATGTATGATAGCTGAATAACTGCTTTGGGCACCAGTCTTACAAGAAAACATCTGATGTGATCGATCATGAAGTAACGACACTGGCTACATTACAGTATTACCAGAGACATGGTTATCAACTCGACAACGTCACTTCATCAGCAGCTCACAACCAACATTGTGCTCTCCCTTACAGTTCAGCATAGCTCCTTTATCAAACTCTCATTGGTTACTTGGTATGTCCGTATACATTTATTACCAAATACCCAAAGGGAGGAGAGACTATTACTCTGCTGCCTCCCGGAGACGTTTCCGCCATGAATCCTCCGCCGTTCAGTGGAAGGATTTAAGTCAAAAAGAGAACCTTTGACGTGGAAGGAGAGCGGAGGGGAGGCGGGCTCAGTCACAAGTCTTCGGCATGTCAACAGTTGAAAGTATGCTATTTTAATTACTCTCAAACAGGCAAAAGGTTTTTAATGGTAGATTTGAACATGTCAACCAAAGCTTTTCCCACAGCCAGAGTTGACAAATGTGTCCTGCTTAGATGCTCATACCAAACGTTTTCTTCTTTAGTATTTGGTGCACAGCTATTTTGTTTGTGCTGGTGGAGAGCACATTACGCAGACTTTAGAAACCTCTAAATAGACACAGTGCACCCCATAATGTTTTAAATTTGTCAAATATCATGTAATGCAGTAACCATAATAGTTTGTCTTCTCCATGTTTAAGGAACGCAACTTTTAAAATAGACTCTCTGCATGAGGTGTTTTTTTCTTCTTTCCTCTTTGTGTCTTCATTTTCCTATTTTATATTTAACCGCTGTCTACTTTTGTCACCATATATTTCAATATTTATTCTCTGTTTTAGGGGGAACTTCACACTTGTAAACTTCCCACATTACACTTTATTTTGAGTGGTGCGTGACCGTTGTACAAACCATTACACCCCTACTGGCTTGTAAGTAGTGCTCGCTGATATTCTTTGGCAAATAAAAGCCTGCTGCTTCCTGACCCGGTATGATGGAATATCAGTGAACAGTATCGACTGTGTGTGTGTGCTTTTGGGAGAGGAGGATTCCCAGAGGACTCTTGTCTCGTTCAGCTAACGGCAGACACACACACACACACAACCAACGTCCATCCTTGAAGGGCACTTGAAGAGTAATTGTCCGTGTTGTGCTTCCTGTGCCTCCTCTTGTCGTCCCTCCTCCTGGGATTTAATCGCTCTCGCAGGTTGCTGTTAAGAACAACATTGACGTATTCTACTTCAGCTGCCAGTACCCCATCAGCATGCTGTTTGTGGAGGACGGGAAGATGGGTGAGTGTGTCTCAGCTAAACTTCTTCAAACGAAAGCCCCAAATCCTGGCTGACGTCAAAGGAACACACACTCGTCCGTCTGTCTGATCTTTCCCCCTCTGAGCCGCACAGTTGCTCCTCGCTCGCACACCTGGCCAAAGTCATTTAATATCCTCATAACGATATATACATGTTTTATGATAATTAATATGTATTAAATAACCAAATGGTAAAGGTTCTTTTTTAATACTCATATTTTGCGGTTCCTGTCTGAATATTTTTCGGCCAAAGAACGCAGGAGCGGTTTGCAGCTTCACCCTCCCATGTTTACCATCACGACGTAAAGCCTCGTCCAAATGACATAAATATCGGTGTAACGCAGTTCATCCAGTATTTTTTTGGGGCATGTGTTGGCATTTCTTCCCGCTGTTGTGGCGGCAGGAAACCTTGCGTCTTATGTGGAATGAAACCACTCGCTACCTTTTCTACATATCCTAATTCTCACGCTGCGCACACCTCAGCTTGTGCTTTTGGACTCGTACCATGATTCCGTCTCTTTGTCCACAGAGCGGCAGGTGTTCCTCGCCACATGGAAAGACATTCCTAATGACAACGAGTCCCAGTTTCAGATCAAAGACTGCCATCTCAACTCAGGTGAGAGGGATGAAAGGAGAGCAGAGTGCACCACATGAAGGCACGATGCCGCCGCTTCATCGTATGTTGAAACCGTCGTCTCAACTCTTCACTAATGGGGCGAAATGCGTTTGATGAGCGGCAGTTCTCAGTTAACGAGTGATCATTTTAGTTCTACACAAGCACAGCTGAGAAGGATTCCTAATGACAGCGAGGCAGAATGGGGGGGAAAGTTAATTCCGAATTAGCGACGGTCTTCTCTGCAGGGATTGCATCGTTCAACGTTCAATGATTGATTTAACTAAAACTGAATACCAAAAATTAGTAATCGCTCGCCCAGACAGTTGAAACTCGTAAGTACAGAAACAGGTGAACGGTTTTACTTACATTTCTGATCATGTTCCTACAACAGATGCCGCCTCCAACAAACTGCAGAGTAGCAACATCTTCACCATAGCCAAGCGCACGGTGGAGGGTCAGGACATGCTGTATCAGTCCATGAAGCTCACCAACGGCATCTGGGTGCTGGCCGAGCTGAGGGTGCAGGCAGGAAACCCAAACTACACGGTGAGTTCTGTGGCTCTTGCTGTCAGATCACTGTTATGCTGCGTTTTACTGTTAACTAGTTGCATTTCAGTCTACTTTGAAGACCAACATTTTGTTCTAATACACAACCAAAGTTGTTTAAATAGCCCAACTTTTATTTTGGGGAGGTGGAAGTATTTGATGGTCATACAGGTGTATAGAAAACACTAAAATCTTTAAAAAATATTGATTAAAGAAATTGAAATAAAGATCTTCACACTCTATTTACATACTCGTAAAAATAAAACCTTTTTAATCCAGTGTGCTCTGACTGACCTGCCATCTCCTATTATTTACCCAGAATTATCTAGACCTTTGGTTATTTTTGCGGCTGTAATCAAGCGAACCAGAAATGCCTGTTTTCAGTTTCCATGGTGGTTATTCACCATGGAAACTGAAAGACACATTTTGGTTTGATTGGTATTAGAGATCGGTCCCATAATAAATCAAAATGGATTTGAGAATGGCTTCACCAATCAGGCGCTGTAGGAACTTCCATTTGCCACTCGAGCCCAAATTACAGCCTGACCGGCTGAATTAAGTCCGTATGATGACGTTCGCAAAATACTGTCCTCACCAATGGAACGATTGTAAGAGATAGAAAAGCGGTAGAGGGGAATCTGTTTGAGGTGGCAGTGATTGGAGGGTGGGGGACGGGACTCAACCGTTTGTGTATTCTTTAGTGCGCTCCTTTGTCGTTGCATGTCTCTGCTCTTGATGGATTGTGTTCGGCTTAGGAATTCTGCATGACTAGCGTCCAGAACAATGACCTTGATGCGATTCCTCCCACCTAATCACTCGGCCTGCTTCAGTTCATGTTTTTATTTATAGGTGGCACTCTTGACGCTTGATTTAGTTTTTTCGTCTAGACTAATCAATTTGTCAGTCACACGGACACCTTTGGTACGTCATTGTGTATGCTGAACTCGTATATGAGATTCCAAATATAACGTACTTCTGAGTATATCATTCTCTTCTGAGATGAACTACAATTTGGTCTTGGGGAAAACTCATTTCACACAATTATTTGAAGTGCATTCATTTTTTTTCTGTGGAGTTGGTGTCCATCTTTCATTTACCTTTTTGGTATTTTTTTATATTCTCTTTGCCCTCATTTCTGAATTTTTAAGTTCACATAAATGCTCAGCAGGGCAGGAAAGGCTGCCTCCTTCTAAAAGGTGCACTATAAATTGTTAATTGGAGAAGAGACTTGTAAGTCAACCGTGTGTTCATGTGCTGGTTCTCCGGCTGCAGCAGCGTCGTCCCTTTGCACGTTAACGACGAGCTGCTGACAAGCAGCTATTTTTAGAGACGAAGCTGTTGTTTTTTTCCTGGGTTTTATTGTGCTCCTGAAGACCCAACATAGAAACAACTGGAATTTGTTCAAACATGCACAGAAGCATTGGACCTGTGCTTATCTGGTGCTTCAATGTTTGCACAAGTGACCCCTTTCATATTGTTGCTTGATGCCGCATTACTAAATTATGGACTGTAAAGTGTCAGCAGCGCTCAAATTTCCCACAACTGACTTGCATGGAGCTCATGTATACTTTATAGTTTTTACTGTGGGGAATTGGGACACCTGCATATCGTTTTGCCGTGAGGCACGGTTTCCCGTCCCCATGGCAACTATGTGCGCAGAGATGTTTGCTGATTTTGTCTTTGCGGCTCTTTAGCTGGTCATTTTTAGGGTTTTGATCAGTTTGCTTCGACACAGAAATGGACTCCCGGTGTGCCGGCCAGCACACAAACATCAGCCGCTGACTCTCTGCGTGAGCAGGAACATTCACAACATGATAAAAATGTATCGCTGTCTTCCTTCAGACATTGTGTAACATTATCACACCATCTATCTGAGTATTGATCCTATTGTGAGTAGTCGAACAGACTGCTCTGTGCTAATGTTGTTTTAAATGATTTCTGCAGCAATGTGATGAACTAACTTAATTTGTCAGGTACTAATTGAACTGGATGAACCAGATCAAGACACAGTTGTCTGATATTTCATCCATAGCACATGTCTTAGTTGATTTATATGCACCGATATAGTCAACACATGCAGGGGACATGCTGAAGGAACATTTAATGAAAGTCATGATCTAAGCTATTACACTCCATTTAAACAGCTGTTGCTCAGTAAAAAGGTTGTGGTGAAATATTCCATTGTTATGATTTAGATCCATATCCCTTTTATCAAAGCATGAATATACTTTATCCCATGATTATGTCCTCCTGTGATGCTGCATCGCTGCTTCAGAGAACTGCAGAGGCCCACGCTCCCCTTTTTTATATCGACAGTGCAGTATTTTAGGCTTGTTTGTGAACCCATGTGTTTGTTTCTCATTGGAGGATTTGGGTTTCACCATATCTGTATCAAGGCATTGGAAATAGAGTTGTGTAAACACCTTGATATCATATTAATATCCTTTTACCAGCAGGACTTGAGATGGATAAATTCCTCCGTTTCTGGCTCTCACAAAGCCGGTTCTAAACGCAGGCGAGCACATTTACATTTCCTCCCATCTTTTACCCCATGCTCACGGGAGAGCGCTGCTTAAACGTTGCCAGCCGCTGCATGCATTAGTAAAGAGCCCAAAGAGTCAAAGGCAACACTTCAAGAGCTGTGCAGTACCACTGCTGCTTTGTGGTATCCAACACACACACACACACACACACACACCTTTGGTAGATCTTAGGGGTCTCGAGAGAACGGTGGGCCTGCTGTAAAAACTGTTGTCAGTCACTCACCAGAACTCCAGTTACTGACTGACCACTGTTATTAAAGCAGCGTTGCACTGTTCTCACATTAAGGCACCAATATTTATATAGGATCCCATTTCACTGCAGGAAGAAAAAAAAAAAACCTGACATAAGAGTTCGCAAAAACAAGCCCTCTCAGCACGATTGAGGTGTTGCTGAGGGGCGATGTACGATGCATGGGGAAAACCCAGTTATATCAACAGTAAATCCCTGTTTCCTGCATGTGTGTGTCCTCTAATTATTCCAAAGCTCCAGCTGTCTTGGGTTTTGTAGATCTGAGGAAATATCATCTGCAGTGTGATTGCTGGTGGGGGGAGGAAATAACTCTCATTGAGACTGTATCAAATCATAAACCTGCACCCAGCTGAAACATCAAAGAGTGGAGAGGATGCCTCCTCCTGCTCCAGTGGCTTTGTCTCTACAGTGCTGTCTGAGACTACTTAAGCATAGTTACAATAAAGACACTTTTAACCAAAATATAATAAATGGATCTTTTGGGAAAGCAAAACCAGTGGCCTTTGCTGCTTCCTGTTTATACCCAAAGGTGCATGAAGACATTTTGACAAAGCTCATTTCTGATGTTTGCCAGATGAACCCCTTGTTGCTCCTGTGCCTCCATAGACTTGCATGAACGATGCAGAAGTCACAATGTGGCATTCTAAGTTTCCTCTTTGTTGCCGAAGGTTTATGTGATTTTCTACCGATGCTGAATTCGGTACTGAATGTTAAACGGCAAACCTGCGTTTTGAGAACCCTTTGATTTGAACAGTAATAGCGTATTTAACCGTGTCCAACTCTGCTTTCCCCCAGATCTCTTTGAAGTGCCGAGCTCCAGAGGTCTCCCAGTGCGTTTTCCAGAACTACGAGGCGGTGCTGAAGAACTGAAAGCCTCCCCACATCGACCCGGCCTCAGACTCCTGGCACCTTCCCTCCCCATCAACCTCACCCACCAACCATATTGCAAACTAATGCAGCGCCATGTCCCCTTCCTGCCGCGTTGGCGCTCTGTCTGTCAATCCAGCTGTTTGGGATGATTTTGGTCCATCGCTGTTTTGTTTTTTCGACTGCAGAGAATCCTGGTTCACTGCCTTGGTTTGCAATATCCTGTTTCTAACACACAAGATTGGGTTTCAGGACGTTATCCTCTGATATATTTCCTGAATGATCACTTTCATATTATTGGTCTTCAACTCTGTGATGGCTGGTATTTTTTTGGAGACAGACTGCTGTATTCCTGTGACTGACTGTTTTCTCTGCGTGAGGCTTTTTAATCATTATCAAGCCCCTCTTCTTTGCCATTTGGAGTCTAGTTTTAGCGTCTGCAATCAGCATCCGAATCGTCACGGTCTGCATATTTATTAAAGGTACCTCAAGAAAAAAAGCTTTAACTTTCTTCACCCCATACCATGTGTGAAGTGGCCGTAGAAAAGACACACACATACTTACAAACTGCATTACAGTTGTCTTTGTCTTTCTCTACGGCTTTCCTTGGTGTCTGTGGATCCCTAAAGGCAGACTGTGTGCCGTGTGCGTGGAAGACGTTTGTTGGTGTGCGGTTCTTCTTAATTTTCCATCAATTTCTGGAAGTCTTAGAGCGGCGGTCCTCTACCGCATCCTGTTTTTCCTAGTCTTATCCGGTTTGATGTGTGTGTGCGTCTCTATCACTTTCCCTCTGACGCAGCCGGTTGAGTACCGCGGCCACCTTTTTAGATGAAGGATCGCGTTTTAAACGTACAATGCCGTGGCTTGTGATACATAAGTATACATGTAGGTAGCACATTCAGTGTCCCTGTCCCACCTAGAGACCGGCACAGATTAATTGGATTCCTGTTTCCGAGTCGTTACACTGAGGGCCTTATTATCGCCTCCCCAGGATGTGTCCGTCCACGCAGACAGCTGGTAGAGATCACAACAGATGTGGCTGTGCATCCTGAGGAGCACGCGGTTCGTGTGGTGAAGGCTTATTAATTTGAAATGCTGTAAAATTTAAAATCTTATGTTAATCTGTGAGAATTTCATTAACATGATTTTGTCAATTGTGTGTACATGAAAAGAACTATTAAAAGTCTTGATAAATTCACAGAACCAGTGTTCAGTTATTAACGTGAAGAAAATGCATCGGAAGGACCGCTTGTTTCACGGGATGCAAAATGTTCCCCGTTTTATTTTCTTGGTCAAGGTCTGTTCCCAATGTCCCACGGAGTCAGCGTCCATTGTTCATACACACACCCTTCATAATTATTGACCTTTTTGAGGCGTTCACGTCTTCTCTCGTGGGCTGCTCAGCTTCTGCTCCGGTGTGACACGATTGGCCCGCCCTCACAGCTTCGCATACAAAGTCTCTGTGCAGTTTAATCCACGCCCGGGTGCACCTTCAAGTTGCCGCAGCTCCTCTGGAGCTTCCACCAGACTGTTTTAAGGTCTGAGCCACCTGAAAGCTTAAATAAGATTTCCACTGCATCACCCCGTGAACGCTCTGGTCTCACATCGGTTCCTCTGTGGACACTAAAGGTCGGCTCTCCAAGCAGAGAGGAGTAAGTAGTCCAAACCTGTGACGAGAGTCTGTTCTACTGTGATCTATAATATCGATCCTGTGCTGAATGCTTGCCAGTAGGAGGCACCACTGCCTCGCTTTCAGTCAGTCTCTGGAGCTTTTGTACACCAAAGAGAATATAAATAGAACTAATTACTGTATTAATATAGTTAATGATTCGTTGGTATACCAACAATTAAAAGAATCTTCAAATCAATATCTGGGTGGTTGTGAAACATTTCAGCTGGTGTTTATCGTCCTGCAGCAAGAGACTCGTTTTTAGATATTTCAGAATCAATTGGAAACTAAATCTATTTAACAACCCTACTGAAGACTTTATGGAGTTATACAAGAAAACCAGTATTTTAATGGGTTTACAGTATTCGTATACAGCCTTATTACCAAACCCAAATGAGTAACAAGGTCTGGATTGACCTCAGGATCCAAGCAAAAAAAACAATACCACTTGTCCTCAAACCTAATTTATGCTAAAATTAGTAAATACAAATCAATGAAAAAGAACATGAACCACTGACCTCAACCGAAATGCTGAAATGATTAAAACAGTCTTGCACTATGTCAGTCTCCCATGGGCCTAAAAGACGCCCTACACACGAAGTGAGGACGGGTTGGTTTTGACGCAAAGCTCCTCCACAGCCCAAAGCGCTCATAATGACCCCCCCCCCCCCCCCCACTGTTTTAGTGGTAAAAAAAAAAAGAATCTTTGGGCCCCTAAAGGGGGGAGAATGCACACTTTGCCAGGTGGAAGAACCTGCCTCGATGAACATCCGGGGTACCACCATTTATTGGAGACCCTCTATAAACCATAAAACTCATCCCCGGTTATTAAACTCCATCCTCACGCTTCAGTCCCAGAGTGGATTTGCGCCGCTGTCATCCGGCGGTGACCGATATGGACTCATCGTCCCTGCCCTGCCCGAGGACCCTCTTCCTCTCAGCCGTGTCAGTCGGAGATGTGATGCGCAGCCTTGCGCCACTCCTCCGTGACCCTCACATCGAGATGATGGATGCTGGAGGTCCTGTTCCTGTGCCAATAACGTGCAGCGTATGGGAGCTCGAAGCTGTCACACGCCTTGCGCACGACATCCTCCTATTGGCTGAGTGGCGGAGAGAGAGAGCGAGCGCATGCCTTTCACCAGTTCATGTCTCTCCAACGACACGCGCGCGCGCGCGCACACAGACACACAGGGCTCGTAAATAGGCTCCAGATGCCTTGACAGAGAACGCACGTCTGCGGGCTGCGCGTATCTCCTCTTCGCCTGTGAACCACGCGGATGTGAACCCATCTTCCTGTCTTCGACTGAATAGAAGATTATGGGGTTGTGTGCAATTCCAGAGCACGTGGGGAGCGTATTTGCCGGGCGGCGGGCTGCGCAGAGGTGCAGAGGAGAGCATCGATGAAGACACACGGGGCTCCTGTGCGTTTGGGCAAGGTCAGAGTCTAGCCTGGATGAGATTATGTCCACGCGGGGACAACAAGGACGGACTTTTACGCTTCCTCGCTGGGCAAGAGGTCGCCCGGGGATGAAAACCCAAGAGTTTTTTCTCTCTATGTTGAATTGCCGACGCGGCGAAAATCCCTGCATCCGCATGAACACGGCTGAGCTTTGTTTTTGACGACCCTCGCGCTGCACGGCTCCCTCCCCTGGTCTCCCTCAGCCCGGAGATAAAGTTTCTCTCGCTGCGCTCGACGTGTGGCTGATTCTGTTCGGCCCGGACTCCTCTCATCGCGCGCAGTTGAGCCCAGTTGAGGGTGAATTCGAGGCTGCAGGTTAAATACGGGGTGTGAGGGGAGGAGATAGGGAGGCGAGGGGGGAGGTGGGGGAGAGGGGGTTGAATACCATCAGAGCGACAGCATCACAACAGCGGCAGCCAGCTGTGTTCCCGGACGGTCACATCTGCCGTCGGTTCGTCGTCGCTGTCCATGGTGCTGAACTCGTGCTCCAGGAATGGTGGAGACGCTGAGTATCGCAGTCATCGGTGCTCCCGGAGTGGGGAAAACTTCTATAATCCGCCAGTTCATCTATAACGATTTCTCGGAGGCGTACACGCCCACCAGGACCAGATATGTGTACAGACCCTCCGTCATCCTCAACGGGAACATGTATGAGCTGAAGATTCTGGACGTCCCGCCAATCTCCTCCTTTCCGTCCAGCTCCAGTCAGGTACAACGCGTCTGTCTCAGCACTTGGATTGAACTTTATTGGGGGCTTTGGCGATCGATCCGCAACTCTCTTCTTAATCTGTTCACGGCCGATACTCAAAGGCAGAAACACCAATTTTATTTATCCCTCTCAAGTCCCCGGTCTACTAGTTGCTATGGAGACTCGACTGACTTAAAGCCTTAGAGAGCTTCACTTTACCATTGTCCGCCATACGAGGGAAGAATGTCAGCTTGAATGTTGTTCATTGTCTTCATCTCATCAGTGGCAGAAATATTCAGATGAGTCGAGGGCAGCGTGACGCTGTTAGTTGTGGCTGCTGGGTTGAATCTTTCTAACACAGCAAACAATAGCAGGACTGTGCTGCAGGCGTCATCACAGCACCTGGTTAAACTCCCAATTTAAAACCAGAACAGGCTGCCTTTTATTCATGGCCACAGGTCACATGCATCTGATTGCAAGTTCGTGTTCTGTAGTTTCAAAGAGGTTTTAAGCTTCAACTCTTCTTCATTGTCATGGATTGGGAACATTGAGAAATTCTCTCAAGCTTTTGTCTAGTTGGTTTAGTTTTTAAGTTTAAGGACAGACTCACATTTCTGTCAAGTCTGTCGTAAAAACAAAACCCATTCAAATTAAAATAAAGAGTGTTTTACTTCACTTCCAATGAATGTTACATCATTCATTATATTTTGCACCAGCAAGAAACACATTTCATTTTCTACTTCACTTTACACGGATTGATGACAATAAAGTATATTGTATCGTTCTGTATTGTAAAATCATTAACGCATGCTGTAATTTTGTGTTTTGTGTGTGGCCTTCAAAAAATCCCCTCCAAGGCATTTTAAATGTAAATAATGGGAGACAAATCAACTGTCCTTGTTCTGTGCCCTAATGTATTTTACAGTTCGGCCAAACACAAAAGGATACCTTATTGATTGTTCATCTTCTAAGGTTTTAGTCTTTTAAGTCGGAGATGTTCCTTCATTGGAACTCAGCTAACAAACCTTGTGGAAACGTAAAAAAGGAATTTGCTACCACAAAGGTTGTATGGACCAATTGGGTTACCCGCTCATTACCTGGTTGGTGTCTCCTTCTAGGTCCACATGTCCAAGTATTAATAAGATACTGGAGGCTTCTTCAAGCAGCACACTGCTCCCAATGCTTAGGACGAGTTAAATATAAGGTTTGAATTGAATGTATCTTGACCGGATTTGATTAATTCAGACTGTTGAACCCTCATATTAGCACCATCTTTTAAAATGAAACTGCTGCGATGCATCTCTTCACAATCACAAATGTTCACAAATGTGTGCATGTGATTGTTGTTTTAAGACACTTGGAAAGAAATGTGATCTATCCTCTAAGATATTTCTTTCCTTTTCTTTGTCAAGTCCATAAAGGCCTCGGGCATTGACGCCCACTCCAAACCTCTATTCACTCGAGGAGTTTGTTTGACTTCTTTTGTTAAAAACCTCGGTGAAAAGGTCCTGAAGCTCTCCGGATAGAGTTCTCCAAGGTCACCACCCCCGACACTGCTGCTCTGCTTCTCCCCTCTTTTGTGTCACGCACAGCCCACCTGTTTTTATCGACAGAGACGGTGCCAGTGAGGAAATGAGATCGGTCCAAAGAAATGACAAAAAAGGCGCTTGAACGAGAAGCCTCTCAAAGTTTCTCTTTGCTGCACCCTCGGAAAGCCCAATTGTACCGTAGGAAACGTCAGACGGGCGTGCAGAGAGTCCATTATGATCATCCTGTCAGGCTGCTTCAAAATGACATGCAGCTTGATTTAATGTTTTCTTAGTGAGTGCCTACTTTGTGCTTCATTGTTTCTTGCCAGCAAAGATTCTCCTTGAAAACCTTCTGATTGAGTTTGTTCTTTTATTCCGCTAAATGGTGCTTAAACAGCGAACACATCGGACATGTTGAGCAGAAAGAAGATGAGTCTGACGAGTTCATGTGGGAGTGTGAGGCCCACAGTTTGAGTCACACGGCCGTCGTCATTCGATATCATGCTGTGTGAACACGTCATGCTCATTTCAAGTGCTGCTAGCAGACGCCTGTTGGCCCGCCGCTGTTCAGGCAGAGAAAACCATCAGCTCAACGCTGCCACAACATTTCTGTCAGACAGACGTGTGGTCGCTCATTCGCTGAGGAACGACCCCCCCCCCTCGCTGCCCTGCTGTGCACTCGCCCTGTGAGCAAGGGAATGTAACCCGGGTGAGGGGAAGTGGACGGCACAAAGAGAGCTGATTGAAATGTACCTGCAGTACGGAGCAGATTAAAAAAAGAAGAAGCAAAGAGAGGGCGCAGCAGGGATTTGCTGCAGTCAATTAGGAAGGTTTCACAGAGTTTAATGGACACTGCTGAAGTAAGACTTCTCAAATGTGCTTTCATGAGAAGAAGGAAGGAGCTGCAGAATGGAGTGAGTCAGTACGCCTTCATGCTTGTGTAGCGTTTCTCATCACTTTAGATTATGTTCCACAGGAGAGCAGTGACGTTCTGGCACGACGCTCGTGACCTCATTCTAACCAGGTTGCACACAGACATTTTTGTACTTTCCAGTGTTGAGACAGGCAAGATTTATTTTCTATAAGCTGGAGGCCGGGGTTGTGGTGTGATGATTTGTTTGCTGTGCGGTGTGTCTGTCTGCTGCTGATAGTATTGCTTCTAGAGAGCATCTGTCTCTGTGTGTAAATATGATGTGAGGACAGATGGATTTAAGACAGACAGCGGATTCAGCAAGGATTTTTTTGTGTTCCTTTTAAAAATTAATTGTTCAAGCCATGATGTGTCTCCATGACTTCCTCCCACGCAAAATGCTCCCTCTGCCGCTTCTGCTCTATCTGGAAATGTTCTCAGTTATCTCTGCCGATGCGCTCTGTGACAACAGGGTGGACGTTACTGCTTTTTATTTCACACTTGTATTTTTATCTCTCGCAGAAGAGAGGAGACAAATGCTGTGTGCATCGTGCAGCTATTAGGGAATGACGAATTAGACAATTTACTGTAGTAAATTTAGTCATTCTCTGTTCTTGGAATAGAGGCATTTACATTATTCTAGAAACAAACAAACAGCTCATCTTGTTATTTAAAAGCAACCTGAAATCATTAAAGATTTAAAAAAACACAGTGGCCTTATAGCGTAACAAATGGAAACGGGTGAAACAGGTAACTTTGCTCTCTCCAAAGGTAAAACCATTTCAGTCCCACGAGGGGTCCAGCGGGGGTCAAGTAGGAGCCCCTCTGGACCCCCGCTAAGTAATTCTTATCTTGCTTTCTTAGATGATCATTGCTCCAAGAAGAAGTCCTAAGGAGCCCAACGTTTGTGATTCTGTATTTTTACACAAGAACCCGGCGAAAGTCATTTTCTCCACATCATCTTCAACAAGCTGGATTAATCAAAAGAGCAAGAACACCTCTCGACTTTAATGGCCCGCCATGGGTCACCGCTGAGTAATGGGAGTTTCATCGCTGGGGAATGTGATGACTTTTAATCGCAAATCTGCGTGCGTGGCCTGCGCGTGACTGCTCAGCACCCTTCCCCCAACAGGTCACGCCGGCCTCCCTCCCCTGCTTTAGTATTGATCCGTGACAACTGCTCATTACCGCTAAGCTGCCTCCCCTAATGTCAGGAGACACGACAGCCCGCTAAAAACAGCGGCCTGCGGTTGTCAGGGAAACGTGTTGTGTTTGGCTCCCGAGGAGCGAAGGATGAGCTGCTCTCTTTGTGGAGAAGAGCGACCTGAGGGTCCAGAAAGAGTGGCAGCGCACTTCACATTCACGCGTCGACAAGCGCACACAAATAAACGTGCCCACACATGCATTTTAAGTGAGTTTATCCCGGCCGTGCAGCGCATTGCTTCACCTCTCATTTTGGAACCTCTTTATTCTGCCTGTATTGTTTAGATGCAGAGACGTAATGGTGCTATTTTTAGCCTCCAAATTTAAAACAGGACTTGGATGACAAAGACATTTTGAGATGAGACCACATGCAGCTATTTTTAGCGTTGCAGTGATGTGTGGCTGCAACTCAACTCATTGTGGTGATCTCACTTCAATTGGCTCAATTATCAGAGCGGAGTGACCGGAGATGAGATGACTATTACAACAAGCAAAAATAGGTGAATATTTTTTATTTAAATTGTATGGGATAAAACGGAGATATTACAGTTTAAGACATAGTTTCTGTGACATCCTTTCCCTGTTTCAGAAAAGCTATTAAGCTGGTTGTGGTACAGAGAACATATTTACATTTATACTAGTTTTCACTGCACGGTTCCCTTTACCTGATGTTCCAGCCACATGTTTGTCTCCACTCTGATCAGCCTCATTATGACTCTTGAGAGGCTGTTTCTTCCTCACACTCATCCAGACACAAACCCTCATCTGAATTATTCCTAGCTGACAAAGATGTGTCAGCATTTCCACCATTAGAAGTTACGCTGATCATCGTCTTCTCCCTCACCTTCTCCCCTCGTAAATGATCATTTAATCTTGTTTGCACCGATTATACAGTGCGTTGATTTTATAAGCATATTTTCTTCAGCCTATTACAGTTTGAAACACCAATGCAACGATCAGGTGCATCAGTTGAAAAACACAAAGCCAAGCACACTGTGTGAGGCACGAGAGCTTTGAACATCCTGCTGTTTCATCGGTGGTCATTTGTGGGATTATTTTATGTTTGAGGGAAAATATTTTCATATATTTTTTTAGGATATTCTACTCAGCAATCAGGCACAAACAGCTTCTTGAGGGGAAACAAACTAGGTTAGAACGGATAAATGCTGGTAATTTTAGTACTTCAAAGTTAAAGAAATATATTAGCATTTTGGGGCATAAACATGCGTGTTTTCTTGACTAGAAGCAGATGAGTATTCGTGGCGATGCCGCTGGTTGCCGGGCAATTTGTCAGAGATTAGAGGTTCCTGCTCCCAGAATAGCTCTTTTTCTTTCGATCTTTATGCTAAGCTAGGCAAACTGTGTGCGGGTGTATTCACGCATATCAATCAGTAAACAGTATTATAAACAAAAAATATGCATTTAGTGTGACCTACTAAAACAGTATTAGATTGTTGAGGAATGAGTTGTACTAGCCAGTGATGAATGAATTAGGACATACATGCTTGAATGTAAACATTTGTTCATTGCATACATATAAAAGTCTGAAAGCAGTTGAAATATAGCCGTACCTTTAGTTAGCGTTCGTATAGTGCTAATAGTCGGTCGGTGAGGTGCATTGGGTGGAGTTCAGGATGAGATTATTCTCTAATCACTGTAATTCTGTAGGTTCTCCTCTTCTCCTGAGATTTGTCCAACCATAGTTGTGTCATCAGAGAAGTGATGATGGCGTTGATGCTCAGATGGTGCTGATCGCCTGTCACACCAGCCTTAGAATAGTCTCTAACCCCTCTCTCACTTTAGCATCCTTGATGCTTCTTTTCAAATTGGCTCCAGCAGCTTTAAGCTCTGTTTCCAGACCCGAAGAGGGTTTTTAAGGACAGTTCTGATCTCTTTTATAATCCAGGACTTCTGATTTGGGAAACCATGGATGGATGAGTCAATGGTGTCATTGACCACACATTCCTTCATGTAATAGGGAGCAGTTGATGTATAATCCTCCAAGCCTGAATCCCCAAACATATTCCAGTTGATACTTTAAAAAAATCATCATGCTGTGAGGAAGCTCATTCAGTTTATGCCGTAATTGTTTTTGTGATGGGCTGAGTTTTCCGCCTAATGGGGGTATTTTCTGCAGTCGAGAGTGGGGATTAGTGACGTGGCCGGCCTAGCGGCACCGGTGCTTGGCTGGAACCATTCTCCCTGTATCCACTGTTAGCCTGTATATGTTTAATTAAACAGTCGCAGAGGGATGGTTTTTCCGCGTTCCCTCCGCAGAACTTTTCTTCCCGCCCAGTCAAGTTCTTTCATTTTCCTCCCCCTATCAGATCGAATGCTTCTAAATACATTGCATGCTGACGAAGAGGCAGAGAGGCTGGTGGTGGGTTGGTGAGAGCTGTGGGACACACAGCGTGAGTAGAAGAACGGGTCACCGTGTTCCGCAGTGAGGTGCAAATATGCCCCCGAACTACAGGTCGAAACTCATCACCGCCAAACATCGTCGCGAGCCCAACAAACAGTTAAAGCGTGTGGATGCATTTGTTCTCTTCTGCAGGAAAAGGCTCTGTGTCAGCGTGTCCTTTATGAGCTGTAGAGTCCCGTCCTTGAGCATTTGCAGTCAGGACACCATGTTTTATGACTTGCTCCTGTGTGGGACTCATCCCAGTTCTACGGCTTCATTGACTCTCATGCTCTGGTTGACAGAGGGGGGCCGAGCAGCGGAGGCAGGCGACCTTGCTTATGATAATGACGGAAACACTTGCCCCATACTGTTCTGTTAGCTGGTCTTCTACTGTTGGTGTATTCAGTACTTCTCAGTAGTTCTTTCAGCCAAGCGGTAACAACAGTGTTTGAACACGTTCATTGACTCTCTCATTGTGTCATTTAAACTGAACTAAATGTGATGTTTAACATGCAACATTTACAGCGGTGATCATCTCAGTTTAGCTCGCTAGGCTGACATTTACTGATTGGCACTAAAATAAAATAGCACAGCTTAGGTATTTGGGTCAAAAGCCAAAGTGTTTGACAGAATAGGTTTAGACTCGATGGTGACAGTAGATTAAAAGTCAGAGGATTAGCTAAATTCCTTCCTGACGCAGACAAAAATATGTGTACCCAATGTGATGGAAATCCGTCTAATACTTCATGAGACGTTCCACACAAAACCATAAATGCTCATTAATGGTGGCGCTGGAGGAAAAGTCGGTGAATCCTAGATTAACAGAGCAATCTATGCAGTAGTTATTGACCACATATTTCAATCTGGTCCACAATGCTGGACAACAAAAATCTCCGGTTCTTACCGTGTGTGAGTTCATTCATTCCTGTGTTTCTCTCTGTGTCTGTCTGGCAGGAGTGGCTGGATTTGCGTTGCAGAGGTGTTCGCAATGCCAACGCCTACATCCTGGTGTACGACATCTGCTGCGTGGAGAGCTTTGAGTACGTCAAGATGATCAGACAGCAAATCGTGGAGCACAGGTATGGTCAACAGCTGGCCGGACTGAACGTATGACGTGATGACCTCCAGCGGTTTAACCCTCCTGACCATTTCCCCCGTGTCATCCGCCTGGAGGCGCCGCGTCATCTCACAGCTTCACACAAGGCTTCAGTGACGCGCTTTTGACAGTGTGCTTGTGGTGATACATTTTAATTCAGCACACTCATCCCTGCATCCTGCCGTCACATTTAATTCTGGCATTACTGCATGCAAGATGCCCGCGATGTCACGAACGATTACTCATATTGTCTTTAGAGATAGTTGGACGGCAGCAAAAGACAGGAAGCATCATAACCAGAGGGAAAGGCCAATAGAAAGGTGTCATCATCCTCGCTGTTGGTTTACCCGAATGTATAATTAACGCATTGAAACAGATGCTGCAATGCTGTAAATAACCAAACTGCGACCTTTCTCCAAACACCTTTCTGCGGCTGCTATTGTGTAGCAGTGGTGTGCACGCGTGTGGACTACGCCAGATCGCCGTTATCACCAGCGGCTGGCGAAGGAAAGGTCAATCAAAAGTAATCATTGGAGGGAAAGCGCAGAGAAGGATACAGCATAAACTGAAATAATGAATAATGGATTTATAACACAGTAGGAGGTGGCTGTACTGTAGATGTCAACTAAAAAAATCATTTATTTTTCATTTGACTGTTCTTAAAATATCTTTGTGGTGGCATATTTGTTGAAAAGAAGCCGTCCCTCCGCTCAGAATATGGCACTGTTGGGTCTGTCACTTCTGCATAATTTCCCCCAAATTTCCCACACAGCCGGAAGCACTGATTCACACGGATACAGTACATCTCGTTCTGCTAAAAGACTTGATAGCCATGCGAGGAGATATTTAGAATCTGTTACATGAGCACATCCTGTGAAAAGGAATAATGTGAGATGATTACTGCAAAGTGTTTTCTAACCCTACATCTTACAAAAACTTTGCTCAGTGGCTTGAAAATGGTACTGTACATTTTCCTCCGTCTTTCCCCTCGGTCGAGCTATATGTGCATCCGCAGAGGTAAAGCTGCAAATATGCAGAAGAAGGTAAAAACAATCATTAAAGGTCTCAGCTTTGTTGACTTTGGCACTCAACCAAACGGAAAGCCAAAGTAGAAATCAATTTCGTTGTAAGAAATCTGATTAATGAGCTTTTTTTCCTTCCTTGTATTTTCTCTACAATCTAATCTAGGATTTGCTCCCTTTTTTCAACACTGCTGTAGCAGATGTTCTCTCCTTTCTCAACACAGCGTCCGCTTGCATTTCCGAACAACCACCAATCAGGCTACGGAAAACGTTTGGACTTGATGATGTCTACCCAGATGCTATTTTTTTTAATTAACTCTGTAGCATAACGCGTACACGTTTCATGTCACTAATGCATTTCTACTTTCCATGTATTTCCACGATGCATAAGGCTGTGAAGCCGTTGCTGCAGCGTGTGGTGGGAGGCCCTTTGAGCATGTGTGCTCTAATCCTCCGGTCCGCCCCCGCACACCTCGGAAGGAAGAGAAAAAAACTGCAGACATCTTACACAGGCCCAGCCAACGGCTGTGACGAATACCAAAATGATAACAATGCTTTTTTTAAACCGACCTTTCTTTTTTTCTTCTCCTTCTTCCCATGTTCCTGCAGGGAAAGCAGCAACAGTGAGGTGCCAATCCTGGTGGTGGGCAACAAGCGAGATCTACAGCGGCAGCGATTCATGCCTCGCAGGGCCGTGTCCGTCCTGGTGAAGAAGACCTGGAAGTGTGGCTATGTGGAGTGCTCCGCCAAGTTTAACTGGCACGTAGTCCTACTCTTCAAAGAGCTGCTGGGCATCGCCGTGGCTCGGGGAATGCGCCAGAACCACACCTCCATCCGTCTGCAGGGGGCGCTACAGAGGAACCGCTGTGCCATCATGTGACCCCCCCGAGAGCTCTCTCCACCCCTCTCGCGCTGCAGTGGAGAATGAAATGACTTTTTTATCTAAATGGCTGGAAAAATACCCTGTGGCCTCCTGCTTTACTGAGCTGATTTTTCATAATGAGGTTTATTAGTCTCTTGCGCTGTAAAAGACCCTCAAATTCCACTCATGGTCATCCAACCACTTCCTGGTCAGATTCTGCCAAATGTGTAAATGAAAGGAGAGGAGTAAGTGAGAAGACAGTGGAAACTAGTAGTACTAGCATAGCACAGTAATTCTTTGTCATTTGAGACTGTGCTTCCCAAATTACGCAGCGGGTCTTCTTGAGCGTTGTCTCGAGGCCGGAGGCTGCGTTTGTGAGGCTCAAAACCGAGAGGCAGCAATAGTGAGTCTTCCTGTTCAATTTGTAATATTTCAAGAAGGTCAACGAGCAAAAAAATAGCTAATGCGTTACTTCTGAAGGGATTATCCCACAGTATACAGTCATGATTAGATGGTATTTAACTTTTTCACCTGTCCCTGTTTCAAACTCTGCCTTCGGTCAAAACTGTTTGCTCAGACAAATTAAGGAAGTAAGGTCGTCTTGGAGCAGAAACTGCTGCAGTGCCTATCACGGTGTACAGTGGGGCTTTAATCTGTTCCCTCCCCTCACTCAGTGTGTGTTTCACGTTAAATCCAGGAGCTGCCGACCTGCAGGAGGCTGCAGAGCCTGAAAAGAGAACGTGTTCAGGCAATGTGGATGTTCATATGTGTGTGCGTGCAAGTCCGCGAGAGAGGGAGACAGAGGGAGACGGAGGGAGACAGAGGAAGACAAAGAGGAAGGAAGGTTTGACAGATGACATTCAGGCAAGCAAAGGACAGACACAGCAAGATAAGAGATCGATGTAGAAACTGGATTAGGAAAGAGCAATATAATCTGACAGTGATGTCCTGACTGACCATATTTACCGCCATATTATGTAAAAAATGCCTCACATATAACAGATGTAATCCTCTCCCAGATATTCTGCAGAAATAAGGAGGCAGAGCTTAATGGCTTCCACAAAACACCCCGCAAGTGCGTCCCACACAGGGACCTGAATGAAGCTTTCATATCAGTATCTGAATACCATCCAACTGGTTTACGTGGTCGAATGAACAGCTACTTATTCATATTGTTCGGCCCCGTTAGTTTGTGAACAGCGCTGCACTGAAAGTAGGCAGACCCGTTGTACATAAGAGTGATTCATGGAGTTATTGATGTGCATGCTTTTGTTGGTAGAGCCAACTGGTCAGGGTTTAATTGCACTGGTGTGAATTTTTTTTTTGATATTGTGTTTAAGTTTTGTAACACTAATGAGCAGCTTCTCGGAGTGAATGTCGTTGTTTTTCACTGGCATGTGATAGCATAAGCTCATGATTCCTCTCCGAGACGTAGTGTTGAACCCTTCAATCAGGGCAGATGACGGTGTTTTAGTTTATTTTTTCTAGTCAAAAAAAGAAAGAAGGTATGTAGCAGCAACTGTGTGTAGCATGAGTCCTCATCAGTTTGTCTGTGTGTGTGTTTCCAAATAAAAAGGGCTACAGTTTTTTTATCAGAAACATTACTTTTATTTATTTTTACTGTGTTGGTACTCTGTGTAATCCTGTTTTGTAATATATTAAATGAATTTGAGAACAGCAACCTCACCCGACTTTACCATCATGTCCTATCACATTGAGATCATTTGGACAACATTGCCGCCCTGTGGTGGCGCGATGTTATCGGAAGCCAAATCAGAGGCAGAGATGAATCAAGCACATTGTACCCGTTGAAGCAATCAGATTCCTGTTTGAAATGAATTGCCTGTTGTAACAACACAAGATGATCCTCTGGGATTCTCCCCAATGTAATAATCTAATAATCATGTTCAGTGGCAGACGGATAATAGGTAATTTAATAAATACCTGAGTAATTATCCCAGGACTGTCCATTGCACCGTATTGCACGAGCTGCCTGATTGATGGTTAGCTGATAGTTCCTTGTGTAATCTCTCTCCTCTTGCATGGCCACATTAACCTGTTATGGATTTCAGGCAAACAGAATTGTAATCTGCTATTATTAATCCCCTTAACCGTGTCTATCGTCCATGTACCCTGTTGCCTCCAAATTCAAGTCAGTTGGTGGTCATTTGGATTCAACACAGATTCGTTTTGTTAGATGCTGCACTATACAAAACAGAAATACCGTTGTTCTTAGATTTGTTTTATTTCTAATCTAGAGTTAAGATTAAGTAATAACAATAGCTCTCGGGCGTTGGAGACATTTATGATCTGGGTCAACTGGCCAGTTTTCTGCTCGGCCTGTTTGATGATCCCACTGAACAGCACATGGGAGACAGTTCAGCCCAAGGTGGTTTGTTTGAAGCCTAAAAGGCAGAGAGCAAACGTATAACTGATAATCTGACCTCCGATATCACCCAAAATACTGAATTAAGGTTTCCTCACTTTAAGCGATATACGATTAAGATTAAGACGAATGGTGACAAGATAATAATTGTTCATTCTAACATTTTAGCATCTTATCAACTCACCTGTAGACCTGACGTGTATCACGTGTGTGTGTTTCTGTGAAATCACCTGCCAAACCGCATGTCAAATGTTTAGAAATATTTGGACAACAACAACATCATGCGTTGCAGGTCTGAATCATAGACCGGAGTTGATAGAGCTGCTTTCCAGTCACATCCACACTTCATGAATGACCAGGTCAGCTGCCCCTCCAGTATTACTGCCATAAACTGTCTGCGACTGTCGATATAGTAATGACGGTAAAATAATTGCTGATTTTGGGACATTTTTTCCAGGTTAAATGGAGTCTATGTAAGGGATCCCCTCTCTATCCAGTCCAGCTCTGTGCTCTGAATGCTCCGCAGTCTGCATCGGCAAAGTGTCTTGGCATCACTTCTCCTTCCTTCCATTCCGGCGTCATGTGAGAGGCTTCTACGGTGGTTTCTCTCCACCTCGCGTTGACCCAGCGCACTCGTCAGCGCCGACGTCCTCGCCCCCCCCGGGTGGGGTAGTGTCCCTGTCCCCGCTGTCCCCGCTTCATGCTGCACCCTTCGGCGGAGGATGAGCGAGCAAGGGAAAGGTTCGGCATCTGCCTCCGCGGCGGCCCCGGCTCCGGGGTCGGATACTTACAAAGGCTGGCTTTTTAAATGGACCAACTATTTGAAAGGATACCAGCGGCGATGGTTTGTCCTCAGCAACGGCCTGCTTTCATATTACAGGTACATATCTTAAGACTCGGCGTCCGTTTTTTGTAAAACTAACGCCAACTGGCTGCTCGGCGAGACCGTTTTCTCCGCGTCGGCGCGTCACAGCTGGCCGCCTCAGCTGGCTAGCATCAGGCTAAAGCTAGCTGTCAAACGGACAAAGTCGGCTGTCCCTTTGCTGTCCCTGTCCCTTTACACACGCGTCGGTGTTCTGCTTTGAATGACTGGTTGTCACGGGAAAGGCAGCGAGACTTAAGAGGCGCGAGCGCTGAGCGGCCAAAGCCGCGAGGACTCCGACTCGTTGAAGTGTCTACTTGTGGCTGCGGTCGGCACAGACGTCAGCTAGCGCACCAAGCTAACCAGCTAGCCTCCGCCGCTGACGGCTCAGCGACGCTAACGCCGCAACACGTGCAACACCAGTTAGTTAACGTCCTCTTAATCACTTTTCATGTCGCGGGGTAAAATTGGAGTTATTGTGGACATTTTTGTTGTTGTCAATTAATTATTAATAATTCATGCATCCCGTTACTGGACCGAGCCACTTAGTGTGCTAATTAGTTGACTGTAACGAGATGCAGGAGATGTTCTCCATCATCACGATGATTCTGTCTTGGCTTTCATCACCTGGATGCTAGCTGTGAGCTAACGTTAGCTATAACTGTAGCACTACACCTGTGGCTCAGGTGCGTCCTGCAAGAGAGATCACTTTGTCTCAACATGGAAGCTCCTGAATATATTGGGCAGGTCTGAGTATTAGACTTCAAAGGTTATATGAGCAAATTAAATTGGTTGATTGAATTTTCCCAAAACGAAAAGAAATGTAATAATTGACAGTCTTATAGTAATACAACCTTACCAGTGGGTGAATTAACTGTAACATGTCCTGTGAGTATTTAGTGCAACTTCTGGGCTGCATTTTCAGTTCTTTCTCCGAGCCAACCTCTGGATTGTGAACTGAGAACTTTTGTTTATTTGCAATGACTTAGCCGCATGGTATTCAGGGTCACACTGCCCTTTGTGCGTTCACTTTACCTTAATACTCATTCCCATTAAAAACCAGCAATCCCCGTACCACCTGTGTGTGGACCACACAAAGACAGCGATGGATCGCTAAAGAGATGCTGCCTGTAAAGTTTAAGGACCCTCGAAAATCACATATGATAATAAAATCTTCAAGCTTTGATCATTTTTTGGCAATCTGTCAATGCTTGCAGTAATCTACGTTATTTATTTGACACAAAGTAGGTTCCTCAACGTTAATTGTCTTTTCAAATGTCGAGTGCATAATCAACTATGAAGAAGGAAGGTATTCTCTTCTGCAAAGCAAATTCTGGTCAGTTGTGAAGTTTTAATGTGAACCGACTGCAAGGACACGTCGAAGAATTTGGATCAAAATCCATTTCTTCCCGTCTACACACATTGCTTTATTGTCTTCAGCCGTGCTATTTGACACGTAGGTGTAGTAGCCGAAGCCCTGCTTCCCGTGAAAGGAAAGATGCCTGTTGCCGCTACGCTCTATTAATAGTCCATTACGTTTATAAGGCTGTTTCCCCTGAAGTAAAGGTAACCCGACGATATCTGAGAAGTTATCCCCTTCATCGACGTCTTCCTGGCCAAAGACTGCAGGCTTTGTGTGCTTCTATTTGTGCCTCCTCGGGCCGGCCGGCCCCACTTCCACCGGGAGGGAAGGGAAAGAGTAACAGCCAGACAAATGTGACAGCATGTTAATTAAACTGTCATCTTTGTGTGCAAAGTGGTTATTATGTTCTGCAGAACATTGTTTGTCTTGTACTACAATTATGACAAAAAAAAAGATGCAGAAAAAAAGTCATATTTTTATAGATTTTGTGTGTGTGTATATATACACTTTCTATACGTATACATGTGTGTGTGTGTGTTATGAATGTATTGTAATGATTGTCACTCACTGATATAACAACAGTTATATTTAGTAGTTGCTCTGACACTCTGTACAACAACACTGCGTATTTCTATGGTCTAAGTAATTAAAGCGTTGTAAGATAAATATACCTTCCTTTTTATAAAATGATTTAGAACTTTACCTTTAAATAAGTGTATGTAGTGTACATTATAGGTTTTGATAATAATTCAAATCACTTTATTTTGTATAGCCCAACATCACAAATTATAAATTTGTCTCAGAGGTTCTGTAACTTGTTGATGAGAAGCCAAAGGGCAACGGACAGCCGTTATAAATGCCTTTATTCTGTGAGCAGACTGACACACTCAGCACTTGAGGCTGCTAAAGTGTAATGAGTTTAACAGAGATTCAACTTTGCACTCTTATTTATTACTTTTGGCCCCAACATTGCAAGGCTGGCTTTTTTTTATTATACCACATCAGCCTTGTGTCTCATCCGTTTTAGTTTATATAATCCGAAATGGCCTCGTTGAGCAATTCTCAACAGGACATGTGACAAGCTCCCTGTCCTCCCTCCCTCCTGCACTGAACTCATTTCATTTTGAATTTCTTAATTTTAATACGTTCAGCACTACTTACTCACCTCTTTATGTGAATCCGGCTTCGTGTTTTAGGAAAGATTACGGGGCATTAAGGCTTTGAGTGCAATTGGAGCTGCCGTATCAGTAGTTCAGCCTGGACTTCAATAGGCCGGCCATGTCTTATTCTCAGCTGCGGGACGGTAACTAGATAGTATCAGTTTAAGTGCTTAGAAGGGGTTCGGTGCCATTAACGTCCCTTTGGAACGTCAGGTCATTGTGTTACTGCACACGCGGCTCCTGGCTGCAGGGAGGCGTTGAGGGAGCGGGGGCGAGCGGGGGCGAGCGGGGGCGAGCTGGCTAACCTTGTCCCCAGCTGGAGGGTACGGAGCCCGGCCCAAACCCTGTTAGAGTGGCACATCAGAAAGAATGACTGGAGCGAGAGATATGGATGCGATCTAATCCCGTTAATAGGCTCCCGGTTAGTCTCAGCACAAGGCTGCAGCGTGTGTTTTTAATGAAAAGCGAGAGCAGTGGAGTGACCTTAAAGGGAGCAGGGAGTCTGGCCTCATTCACACCGTCTCATTGTTGCAGTCTTTCAGCAGGTCATGCTGTCCAAGCTGCAGTATCATTTCTTTGTTTTTTTTATCTTGTCTCACGTTTCCTCTCTGTCTTCAGCACAACACGTTTCCCCGGCGTTTCTCTCTCTCTTTGCCTTGTGATATTTCAGTCCCCAGCCACAGCAAAACCTTCTATCTAATCTACATTCTCATGCTCTGGGTACTGTGTCCTGTTTCCTCTGCCTGTCTGTGTACGTCGCCTCGTGCTTCAGGCCGTCGGCTCTGTGTCGCTCACCGGTTGTTTGTTCTGTCATTACATGCTCCAGATCGGTGGATTTGTGTTTTGTGAGGATATGTGCGAAAGGGACGGACAGGTAAAGCTTTTCCCTCCTGGCTCACGCAGGACGCCTCTCATGCCCTCGGCCGCCCGCACTCACACTCCCCTACTGGCCCTGCAATGCTCCCGTGGTCTCTCCTTCCCAGCTTTTGTAGTTTCCTTGACTGCATATTTCGTGGCCTTTGCATGGCCTCGCCATCCTACTGGACCGCAGCGATCACCGTGGCTCTCATTTCACCCTCCGGCATTACGCTCGGCCCGTTAACCCGCCGGCACCCAGGACTCTGCAGCGGAGCTCGGGCGCCCCCCGTGGCCCCCCGGACGAGCCCCGCCGACCCGACTGATGTGCCCCGAGCCCCAGCAGATGAGCGGTTACACCGAAGTGCTCTATAACATCATAACAAGGCTTAGGCCAGTAGAAGCAGTGTGAGGGGAAAGCTCCTGCCTGGCAGAACGTAGAAGGCACCTCAGCTCCTGACTGAAGTGAGCGTCAGTGAGCGCTCGTCGAGGCCGGAAGAACAGACGTTGGCCCCCGCCGACGGATGCATCCACGTGACTGCATGGCTGCATGCTTCCAGGCGGCTGTTTAAAGTGCAGATGGGCAATCATGTGACGCTGGGGGGGGGGGGTCGAGGATGTGTTTGTTTATTCTGAAACAACCACCACAGCATGTGTTTTTGCTGATTAGTCGCTGCTCTTGGGTTAATCAGCAGAATCAGCTGTCTGTGGATGGAGGCCTGCACACGCTCAGCTCGGTGCAGGGCAAACGGTTCCTGCCCGGCTCTGCAGCTTCGCTCCACACAATGAGCCTATCACACGATTATGCTGGTTGATACATCATACAGTAAATTCAGATTTTAGATAACGTACAGCATCAACATTTTTGCAGCAGTTGTGTTATTGGAAGATGTTTTTGGGAACTTCCGTTGTGTCTTTGTCTTGCACAGTGCGTCTGCAGACCTTCAACACTCTTGCTCTTTGTTCTAATCTGTTGCTCTGCTGCTTTGGCTTTGTTCCCCGCTATAGTTTCTAACAGCGCTCACATTCTGTTCCCTCTTTGTTCGCGCTGTTATTCGTTGTTTGGTTTTGCTCGCTCCAAAGGCTCGGAGGCGGACAATGGCCCACTGACTGTGCCACAGTTGGAGAGGAGGCTCAACAGAATACCCACAATTCAGCTCACTTGCAGCAGGGAAGGCAGGCCACACTGAGTGAATATGTAACCATCCGTTTTTTTAACGGTAGTTAACACAAGTCTAGATTTCATGAATGGACGATTGTGCTACAGAGAGGGTGCATGTGAAAAGTAAAATATTAGCAAGTTATTCCACTGCTGCTTGGCTTTTAAAGGGAAACCTTATAGAATCTGTGGCGTTTCTCTGTCCCTCCTTGCCTCCCTGCTTGTGCATAACTACCCTGCCCGCAATAGGCAACTGTCTAAAAAAAGTCCCTCATCTCTTACTTTTATTCTGTCTCTGTCTCTTTCTCTGCCTGCTATCTTGTTGCAGGACGCAGGCAGAGATGGCTCATACGTGCCGTGGAACAATCAATTTGGCCACGGCACACATCGACACGGAGGACGCCTGCAATATTGTCCTGAGCAGCGGGGGCCGCACCTACCACCTGAAGGCCAGCACGGAAGTGGAGCGGCAGAGATGGGTCACGGCACTGGAGTTGGCCAAAGCCAAAGCCATCCGCATGATGAACGATCAGTCAGGTAGGAGTAGCTGGAGAGCATTTCTAATCTATCTAACTCTATCTAAATATAATCTGCATGGAATGCGTTTTACAGTCTACAGTGTAGCACAGCCACGAGGCACTGACGCAAGACATTTGTGTTCTGAATTTGACCTTGATGGATAAAAGTTGGGCAGATACAGTCTTGGGAAAACATGCCACAGGTCATACAAGGGAGTTCCAAGATCCAAGGAGTGTTCAGCACCAGTCTAGCTTGTTGAGCGTGGTCCTCATGCCTGCCGGGATATTTGGACATATTTGATTTTCAGCTCAGCAGATGTTGCATCTCCCGCTCTCTTTCTTTCATGTAATGTAATGTAATGCGGAGCCGGGGGAGGGCAGCTTTCATTCAGTCTGACAACAATGCCTCTCCTCTCCAAGGGCAAATTGCTTTTCTTTGGTTGTATTAGGTGTAGCAGGGGAAAGCACTTTTAACCCCAGAATTTTCCCAAAGCTTCCCCGCCCCAGTCTCTGGCAGACTGGGTCTACAGAGACCAAGAAGCTATATATTCCTCTGGCCTCAATTTGAAAGCCAGATCACTAAATATAGACTGTGGGAGAATGGGAGGTGTTTCTAGCTCACCACTGCCAGTAAGACAGTAATGTTGCTATATTTTTATTTTGCTGTATGGGCCATGTGTAAACATTGGTAATAATAGCATGGGCTCAGCTGTACAGGTGTAATCACTGTTGTTTTGTTGACTCCCACAGGGGAAAATGGGCTTTCATTGACATTCGTTGACATTCAAGGGTATGTTTGGTTGTTGGTGGAAGCGAGTGGACTTGGTTTTACTTTGAGGCCTGGCGAGGCAGAATAAGACTCTTATTCTACAAAGAAGAACTTAACATAACGCACATCAAGTAACGTACGGTAACCAGAACTTCAACCTGGTTCCTGTTGGGAAAGATACCTCAGTCGCTTACAGCATTACACTGGGCTCCTTTAACTACAGTAGCATGATGCTACAGTAGATCCACAACAACATATTTTGTTTTACATATTGTCTACTCTGAATTCATTTCTTTCTTTTGTAATGTGTTGAAGAAACCTTTCAACAAAAGAGCATTTGATGAGGTATAGAATATACAGAAAGCACACACTCAATTCTTTCGGTCCATTGAAGGATTCAGAGGCAGGATTTAGAAGGTACAAATGCCTTTTTATTGTACTGTATCCCTTTGAAATGTAGAAAAGTGAACAGCAGCTTTTTCCAATACCGTTTAGATATATATCAGGCAACCTGTGCTCAGACCGATTTAATACGATAGTAACTGGAAACACATGCTTTTCGTCCCACCATTCTTAGCATACTAACGAGATTCAAATGCATGAAAACAGTCTCCTGCTTCTGCCCCTGTAAGATGCAGTAGAGTCAGTCTGAGGCCCTTTGTCAAACAGAAACAGGTTCACCTTGTATATTTTAACACTTTTAACTGTTTGTATTTTATTAAAGCTTTGGGTTACCAACTACTTCAAAGCTTAGAGAAAGAATCAATTAATGTGTTTCTTTGTATATGTCCAATTAGGAGATTTTGAGCACACGGACACGTTGTGAGTCCGTCTCCAGAAAGTGAGAAGTTGATGCACTTGAGAGGAATGGTTCATACAGTCCATGACTAATTTTGCCAACAAGCTCCTCCGTAGCTTCTCTTTCTTTCTCGTTCACGGTGTCAGACAAGATGCATCAGTGTCTTCGTTAACCTGCCCTCCCCTCCCTGTCAGTAGAGTAAAGAGCTGCTCTCGATGTCCTCGGCACACAGGAGGAGACGATCTATATCTGGGATTCATCTAAGCTCGAAAAAGCATTTTGTAAAACACATTCCAAGAATCCCCTGTCAACTCCAATCTCAAGTTGCTCTTTGTCTACGAACGACTGACCTAAACCTTGAATCATTCATTACATTTTTCATTAGTACTGGTGTCACTTCATCTGCAGCCTTCCCATTTTTCAAGCCTTCTTTTATAAATTGCCTGTCCGTCCATGAGCGCATCTTCTAATTGAGGTTTAGATTGGATTTCTAACAGTCTACCAAGGCCGGTGCCTGCAGTTTGGTGCATACGCCCAGAAGGTGGCAGCGTTCACTTTTGCTTCAACGTGACCTTTCTCATTTCTTTTTCTCCCTTGTTTCTGCCACTCTCTGTGAAAGCGAGGTCGCAGCCCGTCGAATCACTGGTTCCAGTGCTGGCTTGAATGTGCAATCCTGACATTTGCTCCCATGAGACCAGTGAGAGGTTTATTTTGTGGAAACTGGAATGGTTTACTGGAAACTGGAATTAAGAAATGAACACACACTCTGGAAGCAGTCATGCAGTTGGTGGGCTGTCTGGATGTGGCTGAACTCAGATGGTTACAGCATTTTACTTGAGCTGACTGGCGATGTGTGGGGAAGCTGGAGGCATTTGAGGATTTACTTGATTTACTTCTAGCGGTTCAGTCAACTGTTTCTTTGGATATTTACATTTATCCTCTTGCTTGTGTTTTATTTTCCTCTGATTCTCTTTCCTGTACCTTTCTCCTTTCTTTGGATTAATAACTAGAGCTCTGTCCGTGGTCCTGGAACACAATATCAGCATTAGAATAGCCTCCTCAAACGAGCCTCCTTTGTCGCCATGCCCCCCCCCTCCGTCTCTCCTGACAGTCTCACTGCTTTCCCACCCGTGCATTCGCCCCGGCACTCGCTCTTCCTCTTTCTTTCAGTCGCCCTCTCACTCGCGGTCTGGTTCCCCACCCCTCTCTCCTTCAGCTCCCTCCTTTTTCATCCAGCGGGGTTTTTTAGTTCTGAATGGAATGACCTACTGCTTTCTCCAACTCTTCGCCTTTCAATCTTTTCTTTGCTCAAAACATTGTACATGCCATTGTCCTGCAAGTCTGGAGGGATAAATCGAGACGGCATAAGGCGCAGTTTTCGCCTCGTAAGTATCCGGCTTTTCTGCCATTTACATTATGCTCAGGAACGTGAGTGCATGTTTGTGTGCATACATGTGAATCTGCTTTAAATAATTTGATGCAGCTGTGATTACATGCTGTGGATCACATACCATATGGTGGATGTGGTTTGAATTATAGTTGCTACATCAAAGATGTCAGTGATTTTGAACAAAGAGCATACAGTAGATTTCTGTCCTGGAGCTCATTCAGGTACTAAACTGGTTTGAAATAAAAAGTAATTAAAAACTAATAATTAATAATGAAGGTACATAACTAACATGTGAAAATGTTTTTCCATTAGCAGGGAATGAAAACATTGAGCATTGAGCAACCATTTGATTTACTGCTTTTCTCTGGTGTAAACATTTTTCCATTGTAAAATGGACGAGTGTCTCTGTGCAGGACACGAGACTCGGAGCGTTGGAGTTAATGCTTCACAGACAGATTGTGTTGTGATGACTGATCTATAAAACTATGCTGAGATGCACACCGGCTGTATTAATCTAAACACAGCAAAATGCATGTTTTGAAGTGTATGCTAGTGTATTCTATCAGCTGCACTTCTTACTGAGCTTGGTACAAGACGTGAAATGGCAGATGGCATACATATCATCCGTTAGCTCTGCTGCCGGCTGGCTGTGTGTCCAGTCACTTGCTTGTGTTGGATGTAAGAGCCTCTGGTTGGGTTGCTTGATCAGCTCAGTCGCCAAAAAAGAAAGAGGTGGAGCCATGTTACAAAACATACAAACATAAGTGATCCTCTGGGTGCTTCTCTATCTCTATTCCTCCATATTCAAGCTCTCTCTTCCCCTTTGGTCTCTGAATGCGACAACCAAACCAACCACGAGTGTCCTTGTGAACTCAAACCCTGGCTGTTTTGTAATGGATTCAAACTCTTTGAACTCGCTCCCTCCATAAACTGTCCATTCCCCCTCCATTGACCTTGGAGTTTAATGCCGCCTGCTTCCTCACCGACTGATCGGACATTAAAAAGTAATCACACCCATCGTCTTAGTCCTGTCTTACTAGGCTTGCTGCCCTTTTTTTCTATTTGCTGGGCATTTTCTCTCCTACGTATACATGTATTCCTCCTCTCTCCTTTTTTGTTATTGTATTTTAAAACCACTACATGTGTCTATTGGACTCTTAAAATGTGCCACCCGTAGGTGAGTGATGTCTGAATAGAATAGGGAGCACTCCCCTGAAACTACACTTCAACGCGCCAGTGTTCAAAAAGCTGCTCATCTCTGCAGCTTTGATTAGCGACCATGGCAACAATACGTTGAGGCTGTTGCTAATAGTTAATCCTTAAATAGAATACAGGACGGGGACAGGTGCTTGTATCTGTCGCACAGAGATGCTACTTGAACTCCAGCGTATTTGCCGGTGATGACCAAGTGCCATCAGGGCGGGATGATTCATTGCCCCAGCACATTGAGAGTCAACCGTCATCTCACTGCAGCGTGGGGCATCGACATGAATGTTGTGTGTGCTTGTGAGAACTTCATCATCAAGCTACTGTGAGCCTTACAGCTCTTACATTTGTGGTAAATTTAAGATCATCCACCTCTGGGGCAGCGCGTTGTTATCGTTCCGAGAGGAGGGTCGGTCCAGAAGGTGTTCTTGCCTCAGTGACAGGGAGCACAGTGTTAGCATGATGTGTTCTTTTGGCAGGGATCCATAACATTTATATGGCTGCTGCTGGTGGAAATTGACACAGCATGAGATTTATCAAAGGTCTGAAACTCAAAAGGTTATTTTCCTGTTTAAATGACTACCTTTCCACAATGAAACATTTATGTTGGGTTGTTTAAACCGATTTGATTCACCTCGATGTTTGTGCAGCAGCGCTTAGCGGAGTGTTTGGGTTCCTGGATATTCATGCGGTAATTTACTTAATGAAACTGTAACTCATGGACTTTTAACGGCCCTTTCAGGTGGGTTGGCCTTCGTCAGTGTTCTCCAGTAAATAAACGGGGACATTGTGAGGAAGAATTTCCGCTGAACCTTTTTTGTGCAGTTTGTAAATATGTGTTGGTACCTGAAAGTA